AAAGGTCTTGCGGATTTATGTGTTTATAATTTCTGTGAGGTTTGTCTCACAAGTCTTCCGATGCGTCACGTTGTTGAAACCCCGTCTTTGAGAATGCTCTAAAATCACAGATGCGTGGACGTTTATCTCGTGTTTTCTTTGATCTTGTGATTTCTGGGTTTAGATTATAGCCTACTTTTTAAGGAGCTAACCAAAAGCCTATAAGGCAATCTTCGACTATAACAGAATGCTTTATACTTAATAGTGATCACCTCTCAATTGACCCTGGAAATATACTTAGAAACATACTATCAGAGTTCTGACGTCATGGTTATTTACGTCATGTCTTTCTGATTTTCTCTCTGATTCAGTTGACTTGATCTGACGCCGATATTTGTATGTTGTTTCTCTTTTACATTAGAACAAGATCTTGATAGATTAGTTATCACTGTAAATATATCACATGATTAATTTGATGATGCTGCTGATACGAATTGTAATAAAGATAAGTTAAACACTTTCAAAGCATTTCCAGCGTTCTCCGCCAAAGGAGGTGTTATATGGTGTATCTGTTTTCTTGTCATGTGATCCTTCATGACCAATCATCGTTTGGTCAGTGTCACAAGGCTACATGGGAATAAACGATTTGTGTTGGTCGTTCATATCAAGGCGACGATCTTAGGAACTCATACAACGACATTGAGGATTATCATCGTAGAGGTGGGGGTAAATTTATTTTCATCCTGGGGATGCAAGCGGATGTATATTTAAGCATGTAGTTCTCTCCCACTGTGTTAATTCTCTAATTGGGATAGTTGACATTGCTCATCTTCCGTAACATCATCGGCATTCGACACCCTAAAATAGCAAACGAAATGATCATATTTTGTTAAACGAAATCAATACTTTTCTATTCATCGCGTCGAAGTTCTAACGAGGGTATCATATATCGCTATAACACGAGCAATGGTTAATTTGATGTCAATAGCTTACCAGAAAAACGATTTTTAATTGAAAATGAAATGACATTAGTAGATTTTTAACGCATGAAAATGCAGGTGTATTTTCGAATGTCTGCTCTTCTCTCATGACTCTCCGGGAAGAGGTGCTGTGAGTGCGCGTGGAAACAAGATCAGGTTACGTCCCCGGGGTTTAAATATATAGAAATACATTTCCCTGTGTATATAACCTGTGTGTAACACAACCATTGTGTTTTTGCTATTTCTTGACAAATTGAACGAAGTAGAGGAATATGATAAATACAGTAAATAAAAACGGGCGACCTAAGGAAATTGATGAACTGACTGCAGAGGAAAATTTACCAACTTGGGCACATTGATGTATTGAAATTTGAATTGTCGTGATCATGCCAAGGTGGACTTATTAGAACAGATACCTTGAAAGAACAAAACAAACTAATTGATTGCATTTTGGAAATCAAAATATTTTTCCAAGCCCACCTTTAAATCTTATTTTAGTGGAAATAATTAGCTACTTCAGTCAAAAATGACACCATGTTAAAACAACGCTGGTATTCGGAATATGAAGAAATCTTTCATAAACAAAATTGTTTTGTCTGAAATTATTATGTTCATTATCCACTAGCTCATATTGCTACAATACATGTAATACAATCGTTCATGCAGCCAACACTGATAAAACATTGAAATAATATTCACTGATTGAGGGAACAGTGAACTTGGAGAATAGATAGTCCCAGGTCTAGATAAATAGCAGACTTTTTCACCTTGATGATCGCCACTTAAAAGTAAGCATATACATCCAATAAACACGTCCTCAAATAAGTGGCCGGGTTTTGTTGATTGCTACTTGGCAGTAGTAAAAAGAGCGGCGGAATACTCTCAGTATAACCTCTTGTAGATTTGTGGAAATTGGCTTTCATTGAAACTAGAGTGGTACTAGTAATTTAGATAGATTCTGTATCATATGAAAACTTGTCTTATCGTATAGATAAAACCCCATGCAAGACACGCTTATCTCCCGGGGACATTCACAACGTTGTAGAAGGTTTAACCGACCCGCAGGTGCCACAGAAGAGCGGCGCTATGAGACTGCGCGGCTAAATACCGAGCTCACTTGTTCGGCGGCCGGCACGGAGGGATCCATCCCAGCATGCTTATAAGTTCACACAACCAACCAGAACATTGGCTTTAGTAAAACTTTAGATACATGCGTGTGGTTGTTTTCTTTCTTCAGGCGGCAAGCAATCTAAGGATTTTACCTTATCTCAGCTTACTACTGTATTCATGCACTAAACTGCGAATATTTGACATTAGTTGTTGGGGTTGCGAGAACATATAAAGAAGAGTACCTGAGCTAGCACCGCTGGGTTTGGTGTGAAAAACAATCTTGATTATTTAACCAATTCGAAGTGACGTGAACAAGTACTTTAGATGGTTCACATTACAAGAAATTCCTATTTCTTTACCATGATATGTTGCCTCTGATATCTCTTTAGTTACCTTTTGGAGTTTTTCACAGTTACTGTGCCTTGTGAACGACAAAGAATAAAAACCAGAGATGACTCTTGCGAAGCTAGGATTTCTTGCTGTTTTTTTATTTTTACAACTTTATTTTTCCTCTTCTTTGTATAAAGGTGACATATTCATATCGCGACCAAGCTTTGTTAGTGTACCATAAAAAGGACAAAGAGTAAATACCAGCGAAAACCAAATGTAAACTAGCATTTCTTTTTAGTTTATTTTTGTCACTTCAGCATTATTTCTAAGCTGCGTCAAAAGACCAATTGCATAATCTCTGTTGACTAGTATGAAACGCCAATCCCTGTAACCGGTATGTCTTACCAGTGATGTCTTGAAATGAGTCGCTACTTGTATTTGGATGTGAAGTATGATATGCTTACCTCTTGTGATATTGGGGATCTGAATCTTTGTTTTCAGAGAAAACGAAATAATTGATTTCATACGCTATTAATTAGATAAAAGGGGTATCAATTCCAATTTTAAGAACAATCAAGGCATACTCTTAATGCTCCCATTGCAAAAACGTCTATAATATTATGAGAAAGTGACAGTGGCATACAAGTCAAAACAACATAAAACATAAAAATTATTAAACCAAAATAACATTCCTTGCAGACATGAGCTACAGTGCAAAATCAACACAGGTAAAACGATTCTAAAATACCTCAGTTACTGTTTTAAGTTATATATATTTTTTTATTAAAAATGTTAAAAACGGAAGCTAGTGTCAAATAATGGCATGTGATGGCAAGCAGGCAGTCAGTCAAACCTGAAATGATTCTCTATAGGACGTCAAGTCTACATCAGTGTTTCTTTCCCAATGTAATGTAAAACAGCCAATAACAATCCTATGGAATAGACCTTTACCTGTAAATAAAATACCCCAATGACCCATTTTGTCATATAAGCAAATTGAAGCAATAGCCCGAAAAGAAACTGAGAGATACAAGTGTCCAAAGTCAACCTCTTCAATTGTACAAAACGCCAGATGATTAGAAATTTATTTCAAACATAATTGAGATAATCCAAAAATTGTCGACCGACCAGACAACACTTTTCGTTTTGGCTTAAGTGATAGATGTATCTCAGCATCTACTTTTCAGTAAGTGGCCAAAGACAAGTGTTTGTTTTTATTTCCACGTTATCACACACTTTATCATGACATCCACTCAAAATATACAAACTTTGTATCTCCTCCAGTAAACCGACGCCGATTTCTTCAGTTTAGATGCCAATTTTAGTTGAAATGTTATCCCAAGACTTATGTCATTTTTGCGTGTGTCCCAATATATTTTTCAAAAATAACTTATGAAAAAATAACAAATGGAACCAAGTCCCTGACATCAATAACCCTGAATATAACCCAAATAGTCTGCTGTAAGACTTTATAAAAAACCCTCAGTGAATCAATATTTTTGTCTGTGTTAGTTTCTGCATTCAGTGATGCTGTTTCTGAGAGTTTAAAAGGGCCACAAAGGCAAACGTTTAAACATTTAAAAATATATTTGGTATGCTTAAATATGTTTGATAGCAAATGATGTTCGGTAAATATTTAATGAAGGAAATGTGTTTTCCTTACATGATGCCACACAAAAGAGGCGTTTTCAACAGTTCCCCAAATAATCTTTGCCACGTTAATTCAATATTTAAAATAGATGATACTTTGTTTCGATCTTGATGAACTGTTTTATAATTTTATCATAGTTATAAAAAGTTCAAGTTCAAATGTCTTATTTGTTTTATAATTAAACCAAACAGTTTCGTTCAGTGCAATGTCAAGCAGTAATGAGTAAACTTGACGGAATCTCGATGGCGGACGAGACAGATTAATATAATATTCATTCAATTAAAGACGGTAAAACGGCATTCAGGTCTTAAATTACAACAGTAAAACATCTTGAACCCGTCTTACCGTAATTATTAAATCGTGATTAAAAATAGATAAAAGCCAAATTATAACAAAGCGATTTTCCAGTTTACTAACTTTGTAGATACATCTATTTAGCCGAACGCTAGCTCTGCATGTCGAACCGAGAAAACGTGCTTAACTATCAGAAAAAACGCAGAGAAACGAAATAATTGAAAGAAGCTCGCATTTCATGCAGAAAAATGACATTCTAATTGAACAACTGAGGGAAATGTATTAATTAAGTGAAGAGTCAGGAAATGCTTACTGTGGAAGGTTAGGGTCGGACCAAAAAATGTCACGTGAGGGTCACGTGCCGTGAACCTACGATGCGCCCCATGGTTGAAACAAATGCATGTATTCTTCCCGTTTGTTCATAAGATAAAAACGAACAAATAGTTCATTCGAAAAGATGACAGAGCTGTTTTTGCCCTCCTTTCTAAGCGTGATAAGAATGAATAACGCCGTTTTGATATTTTGATTTAATGAAAGATTGCTATGTCAAGTATAAAGATGCGTACTATCACGGGCTTTCACTATGAATGAAATTATGTTTTGAACCATGATGATTTACTTAAACTGATGACGAATTATATTCTTGTGTTTTCCAGGTATGGACTCTGACATGCATGATCTCTCCGACTCAACATATAGTTCCTCACGACAAAAGCGCATGCGCACATCTTTCAAGCATCACCAATTGCGAACAATGAAGTCATATTTCAATCTCAATCACAACCCAGACGCAAAGGATTTGAAGCAATTGGCGCAGAAAACAGGCCTGACTAAGCGTGTACTTCAGGTAAAGAGCATGTTCCCAAAATGATTTGAGAGAAATCTTGAGGAATGTTGTGTAGCGTTGTGTGACATGTAACTTTTCTGATCATTATAGAGACTCGGAGAGGAAGCAGTTAATCCAAAATTTTAATCTGGTCAAAATATACACTCCTTATCAAAAGATTGGCAATACTAACTCCACCACCATAGGACTGCGTGTTAAAGCCAGTTTACGGTTGAACATTTACTTGTGTATAATCTTTACTATGGCCTAGTCACATAGCCCGGCCGATGTCCGGCATCGGTAGAGCTCGGTGGATTTTTTGGTGCCACCGAGCTCTCCTCATCGGAAGCAGAGCTCGGTGACGTGAACGGACTCCGTCCGGACATCTTCAGGCGACCGACCGAACACCGGCCGGTGACCGTACGGAGTCTGTCTCAAAATGGTAGTTTTTTTCTGCCGATGTGGCAGCAACTACCGGCCGGAGGTCGGCCGGACATCGGAAGGAATACGGCCGGTACCCGAGCAGGTAACAGGACACCGTGCGATCGCCGGCCGGGTTGTTAACGGGCTTTGAACAGTGACCGGCCGATGCTCTGTCCCACATCGGCCGGAGCTCGGCCGCTGTCCGTTAAAAAACCTCGTCTTCTGGTTGTCTCAGTTGCACGGGACACCGGCCGATACTCGGCCGTGCACCGGCCGACGTGTTTTCCGATGTGGTTACGATGGGGCTGCGATGACATGATGAGGGAGCTCGGTGAGAGCCCGGTGAAATTTAACTCCGAAGTTAAAATTTCACCGAGCTACCACCGATGCGGTTTTAAGCAACAAACGCCACGGATGTCCGGCCGGTGTTCGGCCGAGTTCGGTGAAAATTGCATCGCTGGCTCATCGTAACCTCATCGGCCGGGCTATGTGACTAGGCCAAACTATACTTTTAGGCTGGGAATATAAATGACTTCATTTTCATATTTGAACTTTTGAGAACCGCAGTTCTCTAGAATAATGGAAGATAAGAAACTTATATGATTACCGGCAAGGATTTACATTGTATGACGATTTTCAAAAATGCTATTATCAGTTTCGAACAATATACTTTAGTGTTAACAGGTCCGAACCTGTTACCAAGAAAAAATTGTGGATTTGTATATACTAATCAATTCTTAATACCAGACTATAAGTAGCTCTTTGACTACAGATTCTGTAGAAAAATTCATACATTAACAGGGTTTTAAGTTTTAGTACGTTGTCCAATTGGGAGATGGGATTGCCAATCTAATGAAGAGAGTGTACTTACAGATTGTTGTCACAAAAATAACACGATTAATCAATTCATACTTGAAGATATTAGTTTGTCTTACAATAACATATGCATAATATATCCTAGGCATACGTTCTTAAGATAATTATTATAGTTTTGTTGCACTATCGGAATTTGATAGTGTTAGATTACATAACCAGTTTTGTGTTGCACGTTTTAGTAAGAACAGTGAATGTGCTAACTTCAATAAAAGTATTTGAAATTACTGTAACGTATAATCTTTTTTCAGGTTTGGTTTCAAAATGCCAGAGCCAAGTACAGACGGAATCTATTACGACAAGAGTCGGGAGAAGGCAACAACAATAATAACAGTAAAAACGATGGTCAATTGTCTTCTTCTGAAATGGGATCACCTGGATCAAACGCAATGGCGGACCTTTCAAATTCACGATCTCCCGCTCTTTCTGATATCAGTTCAACGCCATCTTTAAGTGACTTGCAAAGCGGAACAATGGATCACATGGATTCAATGGACACTATTGATAGATTAAGTAGACTTGAACATGATCAAAGTTCAAGCCTGACGGACATTTTTCATAATAGTTTAAATCCAGATGCATATTAATGTTTTGTATAGTACTATCATATAATTATATATGTATAATATATATTTTACCTGTCAGATCAGTGACGCTATTGCCACAGTCACACTGTATTTTATATAATTTATTTTTTTCTGATGCCTACCATTTAAGTCTTTGGTATATATTTGTTGGGCATGTCAGCTTTTCGCTCATTTTAATTCAGCCCGTGCCTATTCTCTCAGACGCGAGATCTCGACTGGCAATAAGGAAAGGGTGGCCATCCCCGAAAATCTTTCAATGAAAACAGCATACCAATAGCTTAAATGACAGGCCTTTCTTATGTAATATGTACCAGATCATGTATACAATTTATATGTACCTGTGGAAATATATTAGGAACATTGTGTAATTGTGAATGCTGTTTTAATTTTGATCATTTCACAGAATTTTACTCCTCCAATAGATCATCCTTTTATCTTAACTCATGTACACTCGTTTCGAAGCAACGACACACTTTTACTACTAAAAATGATGCAAGAAAATAGTTTGTCGCTACCATTTTGCATTATCTCAAATATTTTAAACGAGATTTTGCGAGCATACCCGGGCAAATACCCGGACAGCGTCTTTGGCATTAATGTCGTTGTTCGTATACATCAGGTCAATAACAACGTCTGCAGTCGTTATGCCTAATTTACACTGAATACACTAACTGTGGGAATTTTTTTATATTCTACATTTTACTGAAGGAGGCCTGTGTACATGTATCTAATTCTGAGTCCGTTCATTTAGCAACACGGGAGGCTCTACCTTATAAATCAAAATTGTGAAATATCCAACGAAAGCTATTCGGGTAGGGCTGATGTTTAAAAAATGAACAGACTGAACCATGGCAACTGTCTCACCAAACTTAAATGGTTTTAATGGTGCAGTCCAAATGTTCTTTAGACTAAATTAGCTTACTTCGCCATCTTATATTTGCTACGCCGAATTTTTTATTCTGGCCAAGCCCTTGAGACTTCTATCAAGGAGGATTGGAAGTCGTTATTCAAACTCGATACTCCGTTGCCCGGCGTGGACCAATTTAGTAACAATATTACTCAAATCTTGAAGACTAGCAATGCCTATGAAACGTGAATATTACCCTAATATTCGTGATGTACATCTTTTAACGAAATACGTGGTCCAAAGAGAATTTTTTGAAATTGTTTTTGCTAAATTGTTCCACGCCGGGCAACGGAGAATCGAGTTTGAATAATGGCTGCCAATCCCGTCCTTGGACTTCCATTGTAAAATTTCAGTGCGTTATCTAATTATTTTAAACAAAAGGAATTTTCTCAGATTGTTTCAAAAATAAACCAGAGTAGTATTCTTAACACATTCTTAAATTTCGACGTCGAGAGATTAGAAATCGCTCAGCAAAAGCCGCGCGGATCACAATTGCTAATTCATAACACAAAACAATTACTATTTTTTCTGAAACTATAGATTAATTTATGCATATTTCATGGTACAAAATTAAATGTTTTAAAATTTATGTAATTGCGAGGGGAACCTTCCTATTCCAGAGACAGCAGCTACATACAAAATCTTCACATTGCGCATACTTTTTGTAACAACATGAACGACGTAGTTTGTTTTTTCGAATGTGAATCATTTTCTACCACATTTTCACCATGTTTATCTTCATGTAAAGTTCCCAAACGTGGTAAAATAACAAATGATTTTTATAATTATGTTTGACAGCTTGACATGTTCTATGCATGTTCTCGGTGATAACGTTTACTTAGTGTTTAGTTTGATGTATCAACTTTAAAGTGAATGATCACATTTTGGGAAATGTAAATTCCTTGTTTGTTTATGTACGACCGAACTTGCAGTTTAAACATGCATGTTAAACATATTCATATCACATACAAGGCGGTTATACACGTATTAGAGACAGACTATACCTAAACATATACTTAAGGAAAATAATACATCTACATTTTTACAATTATTGTTTTATCTTTAAAGGGAAAATAATTCCGATCGTGAGAAAAACGGGTTTCTGGCATGCGTCCTAAAGAATCATAATATGAATTCGAGTCTTCATTTAATGATCACATAGTTTGATATATACGACGGTACTAATCTTACAAAATATAATTATGTGAATTCTGCTTTTATCCGATTCACATTGCATAATAACATCATTACGTTATTTATAATTACACGGTCATACTTTAACGATGTACGTGTCATTTTGATTTGATATCATTCCAGATATTAATTTTACAGACACAATTCTTACGGGAAGACCTGGGTGGGAAGGAGATTCTCCTTCTAGTCTATTCTTCCAATTTCATCTCTCTTCTAATACGAATTATAATTAGTTTTCTAAAATGCAAACTGTATGAAACAATATTTAATGTCCTGGCGTTTAAATGAAAAGCGTGCCATCTATCTAAATTCAAAATACTAATTGTTCATCTCATTTAGCTTTATTATCTAATCGAACCTAAGTTCGTAGAGATATCTAGAGGAGCTATCCGTCTGTCCGTTCGTTTGCTGACAAAGATTCAAAATTTTTATATGCTTATCGGTGTAGGACATCTACTCAAATACCAGTGACGGATTTGGTTCAAATTTTATATTCTGGTACCTAGGGACAAAGGAGTCTTGCCCAAAAAGAGATTTTTAAGATGACTGAATTTCAAAATGGCTGTCAATTTTCGTAAAAAAACAAACGTAATCTTTGAAAAAGCTCTGATCAACAAGAAATTATTAAGATTGCCACTGAATGGCCACCATTTATTGTAAAAACGTAATATTTGATATCAAACTAAAATACCAGTAGACGAATTTGGTTCAAATTGCCCCGGGGCAAAAAGTTCTTCTTGAGAAAGAATTTTCAAGATGGCAGCTAAATTCCCAAATTGCGGCCATTTTTCGTGAAAAACTAATCTTTGTAAATCAAAGTACGAGTTTGGTTCAAATTTTATATACTGATACCTAGGGACAAAGGAGCTATGTTCAAGAAGAAATTTTCAAGGGGGCTGCTGCATGTATTTATCAAAACATGATTTGTTCGGTTGGATTTGCTACTCTGTGGAGTTGCTGTTTTCTCGTGTTAGTAACAATTATTTCCAATAGTATAGTTTGGACGCATTCTACAAAGTAGCTGAATAAAGCTAAAATTATAGATGTCACACTTGTCATTTTTCATTTTGCTTAAAAAGCTTGCAATAGTCTCTTAATTTCATGATTTATCAAAAAGTGATGGCTGAATCTATCTAAAACTCGAATGACATACTATGGGAAGACCCTGTCAATGTACCTGTTGTGATTAATCATGAAATTTTTGATTGTCGAACGAATACACCAAGGTTTTAAAGAATCTTAGCCTCGTATCAATGGCGATTTTGCCCAATTTGTTTTGAAAGTCATGGCAAACGATTTAAATGACATAATGACTAAACTGGATATACAGTAAAGAGAATGTCAAACATTTATGCCGGAATATAAAATCACAGATATATGTAAGCATTTTCAATTAGAAGATGATTGAATAAAAGATACAAAACAAAAACAAAAATGGCCGCAGTAGTAGATGTAGATTCATAATTATACAATCCTATAGTATAGACTCCTATTATTATATATATAGGATGGCTAGTTTGTCTGGTATTTTGGAGTTGCATTAAGGTATTACATCAGGTAATTAAATGTCTTGTCCTTGGTTGCTAAACGAATGGCTGCAGAATGACAGGTGCCTGTTACTATATGACGTCATGATATCTTACTAGCCTGCTATATATGACGTCACAGTAAAACGACGCATTCAAAATGGTGGGCAAATAATAAACGTCGAAATATTCGGTAAATATTTCATAATCCAAGAGCATGGTGGTTCTTTTTGGCTCTGTATCATTGAATGCCGCTATTGGTGTTGCGGGTAAGTTACATGTGGCGAAGAAATCTGCAAAATAAGAGGCAAACGACACAAAAGCCACAATAAAGTGGGCGTGGTCGTTGACTTTCAAGTTCGACTTCGAGTTTGAAGTTTTTTTTTTTAATTGACACGACAAGTCACTCATCATCATTATCATCATTACAGATTGGTGATATACACTGATATTAGATGATTAGCCTGATTTTTTTAATCTCATAAAAATCCACTCAAAATCCCGAGCTCATTGTCATTCGTCATTGTTTTCTTTATTGTGTGCCCGAAAAATATTTGGATCCCAGATGTTTTGCCATAACCTTTAAAGTGAGTGGTCATTCTTATTTCAGTTATGTTGTTGACGTCCACAGTTTTAGCGTCACCAAGCACTCCATTGCGAACATTGTACAAAAAAGGCCAGATAAACAATAATAGACAGTTTCCATCATCAAATAAGTGGAATACTTACAGCAATGATTTCTTTTATGATGATAACGGCATAGATGTAAAGGATAGTGATGTCGTCGATCCAGAGCGGAATAAACCAGAAACCGAATACGTAACTATTCTCACAGACTATCCACCGTTTGTTCCTGCTCATCCCATTAAAAAACCAAGGAGAAGAAGGTCTAGAAGGGGGAGAGACCTTAGGCCAAATAAACCCTCTGGCCACTATCAAATCCGACATGCAATTTTCGCAAGAAAGGGCGTATCTTTGACAACAGCAAAGAACCAAAACCGATTAGAAATCTGGCAAACTATGCGAGAAACTACAGAGAAAGGAATAAAGCCAAACGGAAAACAGCCAGGGGGATATCTCAATGACCCAACTCAACAAAACAAGGATATAGGTATGATGAAGGGTTTTCTCAGGATGAGTAGTCATGTTGATAACCCTAGTGAACAGGTTGGAGTGTCTAAACATATAGACAGGGTTCGTAGAGACTCAAATCCAGTCAAGAAAATGATCATGAGAGCATACCAGTTTACAAACATTTTTGGTAAAATGAATGAGATTTACAAAGCCAAGCCCTGCTTGCTCAATGCCGAACTCGATGCGTCCCAAGGTCAGTCGGACTTTCGTCCTATACCAGAACCTACTTCACCGACAAGAAAACACACAATTAAAGTTGCAGAGATTAACAATAACTCTACCCAGATGAACATAACAAACGTAATTGAAGAACAAAAACACAGAGTACGTCGTGCTGCTCAGTCAAATACTGTTGAGATAGAAGAAGAGGTACACAAAGTGAACATAACAATACCACAAAATATTATTGATGAAATACTCAGTGGCAAATACGTAGTTTCAGGTTTGTGGTATTCGTCTTTTTATACTTAGCCTATACGTGAATGTTGATTGGTGAAAATTAATGCCATTCCAGAGGCCCATTCTCACAGAAGATAATTAAACAAATGGGTGAAATTACGCATTACCTGAAAGTATCAATACAATTACAAACATATTTGATAAGAAACACAACACTGATCAAAAATATGATTTTAATAGGCCTAGAATAAAATATAAAATTCATCCAACATTAAATCGCTTGAAAAACTTTTCATTGCAGTGCTTGGTGACAAAGGAACGCGGATTGTAATTGCAGTTGGAATTGTCACATTTTTCATTATTGGCGCCCTTGTCTTCATATTTGTTTACAGATGGAACGTAGAGGAACAACGAACCAGGTAGATTTTTGTAGTCTTTTCTAACTCAAATATACATGTAAGTGTCAAATAAACACCATATCCCCCTCCTATAACTAAAACCTTAATTAGATGGTACCTACCTATTGTGATATACCGTTGAAAAGATGACATTCAAAGTTACATTTGTTCACCAACTCTTAAGTATCTTGGATGAAATATTTACCTATAAATATTGAATGTCCCTCTTCGAGCAGCTTTTATTGCGTCAAAAGGAGAAGGATATGATATGACCCGAGTCATTTAAAGGCCCTATGTCCATATCTTGAGCTAATTTGACTTTTTCAGATGCTTAAAATCCTGCCAAATACGCCAAATTGCCAATATTCTATGTCTTTTCAATGATATAATTACACTTGATACCTTATATTTTGGTTTTGGCTGAATAGTGTGACGGGGTGGAACCGGACTTATTTGACACCCTGTATATGTTTATGTTTATGTTTCTTTATTTCCTCCGTTTTATTGGAGAGCAAAACAATTTATACATGCATATCACATTACAAACATATATTACAGAAGAGTAAAGGGTTATTAATATTTACACATTTACAAGTTAAATGACTCTAAATACATTTTATCATTACAATTCAAGCGTACCTATTTGAAATACATATTTGTATTGTAAAATGTATTTGCACATTCGATAACGAACATTTCATAAATGGTGTCATTGGCTACATCAAAATCTATTCTGCTACCCAGAACAGTCTGTAAGAAAATATCATCATCAAAATTGAAAAGCACAACACTATCTTGAACTGGTAAGATATCAATGAGTCGCTCAAAAAATGCGTCTCTCTCAGATAAAAATTGATTGCAATGCAGAAAATGAAATATTATACAATTACACGATGAGTTGCATTTCTTACATGTGAATGTCTTATATGAAGGCATTGCAGAAAGCTGCACCAGGTTGGCTAATTGCCATAGATATGATGGGTATCGTTTTCCAACGACCCAGGCGAAGCTTGGTTCCAGTTTACAGTGAATGTTCCTAAAAATATGCAGATTATCATTGGCTTCCATTCTTGAAAGCCACTTATTTTCCTCTCTGTTGAAAATTTGGAAATGCGATGCTTTTTTAAACAAAACTGTTTTCATAATTGAGCCGGTAAGCAAGAAGGTTTCTGCAACACTCCGTGCAATATCACAGTCGATGCTCGTGACGTCTTTAGCAAAACCAAAGTGATTGTTTCCCGGGTTTGTGAGTAGGGACGAGAATCTAAACAGGAATATGTATTTTGTAACTTCATGAGTGCATCGACATAATCTTGACAAAAAGTTTAATTTCAATTTCTCAATGAAGCTCGATACAGATATTGCACCAAGAGTGGCCAGAACAACGTCCAGTGATGCCGTTCTCGCTTCAAAACCTTGAACTACTTTGAATATATGTTTTTGAGCAGTGTTCAGTATATCTTCATCATGCGGTGACAAGTTGTACCATAACTCACAACCATATAATGTAGTAGGTAATATAATAGAATACCATAGTCTAATGAACACAAGTGGATTAGCGCCAAATTTATGTAAACGCAAGGTGTTTTTGATCGAATAAAATTTTGAGTACATTTTCTTTTTTGAGTTGTTAACCAGATTTTCGGTTTCAAAGTTAGTAGTGATAAGGTTACCTACATAGTTTGTGCTTTGAGTTTCAGGTACTATATCAGTCCCTAGTAGCCACTGACGACTACCTCTGCTTCGAAAAAACTGTTGCTTTGTTTCATTAAATGTCAAAATTGAGCTTTTAGTGTTATCACCAGCGTGGTAAACCATACGCCATTTTGAACTGTAGCGAAATACAATGTCTAACAGAACTTGCAAATTATGCGCAGAGGAAGCTAGGAGAGTAGTATCGTCTGCCACCAAAATACACGGAATATCATACGAACCTATCTTAAGACCTGAATGCGCTTCCTTAAGCTCAGTTATGAGTGCGTCAATATAGATCAAAAAATAAATCGAACTAGTCACTCTTCCCTGTCCAACTCCCTGATAAATACTAAATTCCCGGGAAAATGAGCCATTGTATAATTCACGTGCAGTGGTATTAGTATAACTTTCTACGATTAGCCTCCATGTTACTCCATTGATACCGAGTGAGAATATTTTCTGAAATAACCCTTTCCTCCACAATAAATCAAAACATTTGCGATTGTCAAGAAATGCCGAAAATACCATAGAGTCACGTTCCTTGTAATGAAGTATGATCTCTTTGAGAGCGAAGAGTGCGAACTGACTACTACTTCCCTCTTGATAGGCAAATTGTAAAGCGGAATATTGAGCAAAAACGTACGCTCAACTAGACATTCTACATATACATGCTCGTCTCTCGTCTTTTCTAGTCGTTTTAGTGCTGCAATCTATTTAGTATAATTGTAACTATGGCAGGATCAGTTAGTGCACTTACCTGTAATTTTAGTAAACAAATCAGTGAATTATTTGTTCACACATTTTGCGCTATTCTAGAGGAATATAGAAACAACAAGTATAATTATACTTTTTAATTTCAGAGGAAGGAATTTGATGTTTATCGAGCATTGTAAATCTTGCAGAAATCCGATGAATAGACTTCACGATAGGTGCGTTAGGGGTGGTACAGTGAACAATATCATGTAACGAACGAAGGGTGAAATCAAACATACGCCAGTTCTTCCGTCTGGCGAAAACTCTAAAATACCAGCTATAGTGGATCGATTTTGTTCATGTTTGGCGGGATGAAGTATAATGCAGGTGATATTTCCATACAAGGATTGACACACAAAAATGGTCGAATATATATCAATTTTATTTCATTTTCAGCAGCAGTGACTGTGAGTGGATTTATGTAATATGTGACTGTAGAAACGATAGGCGCAAAGGAAAGACAGAATATATGAAGCTGAATGGAGGAAATCACGTTGTAACAATGTACGTACGTATATGTGTGGCAATGCTAGAGTTGTGTGAAAGTATACAAAACTAAAGGGAACAAATTGAAGATCACAGCCTACCTCAATTGTGTGTACTACCTCAAATTGACCTAGAAGATTTCGAAACAACCGAAAACCTTATAGATAGTGTATAGTGTTGAATGATTTCTATGTCTATGGGCATTGGAAACTATTGATGATTGCGAATGATATTGATTTCCTTTTTATTAAAAGATAGAAGTTTTGTATCATATTTACCGCATCATAAATCTGCAGAGTGCTAAACACAACTTATTTGCATAATGAAACTGTGGTTAAGTTCGAGAAATCTGACTTATAAATCATAATATAAATTGTATTATTATGTTTGCTTATTTGTTTAGGGAGCATAACTACTCTATCGACAGTGGCGACAGTTTAGAGCCCGAATCGTCGCCAGAAAGAGTCGTTGGTGGTGAAGATACACCCAAACCACCAAAGAATGTCGGTTCGAACTCATCAGTTGGTGTCAAGGATGAAAGACCAAAGAGAGTCAGTTCGAGTTCTTCAACTGGTGTCAAGAATGTAGGTAACGAACAGACAAAGGGGAGTACCCAAGACAAGGGATGTATGGATTCGTCTGTCGAACTTGATGATTCCACCGAAACACCGAAAGACAACGACATCGATGCAAGTGCAAAGAAGTACGAACGTTTAGCTGTTTGTTTGAAACATTAATAATCAAATTAATATAAATTTCAGAAAAATTATAATCATGATTATGGTTTATTCTTTCATTTTCGTTAATATTAATCAGCGGGACACATTATTTGCACATGATACTTCTTCCGTTAAAATTCGGGTTTTATCAAAAAATAAAAGAACGAAATTATGATGATAGATGGCACCCATTGTTGTTATTCCAGGGGTCCGCATTGTAGGAAACAAAATCCTGGTTGCCTGACACTACCCAAGATCATGTGCAAGTTTTGTAGACTCAAGGTACATGTTGTTCATCAACAATAATACACAGGGCACAAAGTAACACAAAGATTGTCCATATGACTGTGAGAACCTCAAACCTCAAATTAAGTCGACGAAACCGTTTCATATTAAAATGAGACATGCATGAAATTTTTGAAACATGGTATGAGTAAAGCTTTTACATCCCATGTTTGATGTGGAGAGCAAAAATGCTTGAGAAATATTATAATCTGGCATGTCGCCAACTTGTTGCTGAAACGCATCCGTCGACGTATTTCTGTTTTAGATTCCTCCACAGGAAAAAATGTTTTAGATTCCTTAACAGTGTTTATACATTACTGAAAAAATTTCCCGAACAATTGATTGCAATAGGTCATCTCTGTAGTGAACACCCCATAGTCCATAGATGTTCACTGTTTATTATGACCGGCTTCGTCGAAATAAATATTTTATTTGCAATTATTTCAGTTCAAGGATTTCACGACATAAAATTGCTTATTGCTTCCAGACTGACACAACCTTCAACTGAACTGCCTCCCATGGCAACCAGCACACCGAAGGAAACCTCACATTTGAGCGAGCTGGATTTGTCATCCGTTGAAAAACCGTCCAACGCTCCACTTCAGTCCAAAAATGAAAAAAATACTATAGATTCAAGTCCAACATCACCAGTTAAATCTAGCTCCCCAAACTTCTCGAATGATCAAGAAAATCATTCAACAAACTCTCAGACATCACCAGATAATTCTACTTCACCAAATCGTTTGGTCCCAGAAACTCGTTCATCACCCCGACGAACAAAAACTACTCCTTTGTCCCTCGACGATGATGACAATACGCAACAAGAATTGACTCCATCCCGTGGATTCCCTACACCCAGTGTTCAAGTTGATGTGTCTAAATCCGGGACTCTGTCACCAAGGAAAATTATTCGGGAGGTTGACTCTAGCCAAGAGAAACCCGATCATGGATTACGTCTACCCGCTAAGAAATTGTTTGATCCCAATGATACATATGATGAATATGATTCGTTTGACTGATTCTATATGATCTTATAGTTACTGATTGAATGATGAGTCTGTATCGATTGGAGACATTTAACTTCCATCTTTGATTGTGTCACAATATCTTTAGACGAGTGACTAAGACGACAAGGATGCTGTATGTTTACAGGTTAACATTTATTTTACAATTACAATGAATAAATTTTATCACAACTGATTACATTATTCTCTTGTACATGTTGTTACACAAATACTCTCTAGTAATAGTTGAGCAAACAAGGATCAAAAGAATAACACGATTTGTCCAAGGGTTTAAATATACCATTGAATAAAAAGTATATATAGAACTACAGTTTATATCAGAAGTCTGCTAGTTACAAAGTTGATGAATTAGTGCCTGCATCAACATGGGGCACTTTTGACTTTGATTTTCGGGTTGATTTTCATAAAATGGAATTTGAAGAGGTAATATTTTTTGAAGATGACATTTGACAACAGATAACCTTTTATAGACTCCTTGATGTGAAAGTATGCATGTTTAGTCATGTTAGTGTGTGAACAATCTAAATGATCAATGAACGACTAATGAACCAAAATCATTCTTCAAAAGTAATTTTTAAAAATGAGATTGTCATTTAAATTGTGAATTAGGCAGCTTTGTAACCAGTGAACCTCCATAAGCATGCCAGATCCTTAAAGCAAACCTCTCCTTTCGAATGGTATATATTAAAATTAATTTTGGGGCGGAGCTCTCGTTTGCTCAGCTTTATTAAATTATACATGGTGAAGTGAGCAATAAAATGGGACACTTTGTATCATTAGAAGTATTTAGGATCATACAGATAAACCATGACATGATATACCAAAGCATGGGGAATTCATTTAGCATATACACGTAGGATATCCTATGAATAATATAATGTAGGAATATCATTTTTATCCACGATGTGATATTGATATCTGCACCGAGAGGGAAGCGAACGAGTGCATATATCAATATCACAGAGTAGATTAAAATGATATTCTGAAAAATTATAGGATGTTCTTATTATCGTACACTTACTATATGTATAATATCATTGGAAATTAAAGGTGTGGTATCGATATGGAGAACCTTTTGAACACATGTTTCTCTTAAACCAGTAATAAAAAAAATCTAAAAATTTAACACATCGTCAATTTAAAGGTCTTCTTTTGAATGGTAACAATATAATTTGAAAAATATATACTTTCATCTATATTGTTTTAGAAAACACATCAAACACTTGTTTTGTTCTTGGTGTTATGTTTCCAGAGTGAAATGAAACATATTTCCGAACCTCATTGGAACAAAACGACATAAACACAACATGTTTCGGTCTTTCAATATTGTAATTGTACAAAGGAAATTTTGGTTAATTTTAAAAAAGTATCTTGTTAATGAAATAAAAGGTTTATCTTGACTTTTATCTATTTTGGGGGAATTTGTTTTAATTTTTTGAATACTTTTTTAAAATCAACCAAAAATTCCTTTGTATAACTATACGGTGATATTGAGAGGTCTAAAAATATGTTGTATATGCTATTTTGTTCCAACAAGGTTCGGAAAGACATTTTATTTCATTCTGAGGCAGAACTGAGGCAACTGAAGTCACTTTATATCCTTGTTGGTAGTGTTCACTTTTCAAGGAAGTTTATGCCCCCGGCCCCCCGTCCTCTCCACTAAGTGAAGCAATATAACTTCTCAAAAATTAATTAAACATTTGAATCTGAATTTGCAGTTGATATTGCATATAATATTTCTATGAAATGCAATATCCTACATAAATTATCACGTATGTATTTTTGTTAGGAAATTATTCAACACGTGTCGAACTTGTTGTGCTGAGCTACGCCTTCGACCTCCTCTACTATCGAGATATCGTCTACGTTTAACTTCACGGTAAACTTCGTGAAACGCTTCATCAATTTCGGGAGATCCGTCACATGCTGACGTTTCAAAATAAGCAGTTGCACAATCTGCAGCCATACGCTCAGCTTCGGCTGTTCCTACTTGTCTCTGGTGCTCAAGGTCAATCTTGTTGCCTATGATAACACAACTAACATTTTTACTCCTTTTTATTTCGTCTATTTGATTTTTTAGTATTGAGATCTGTTTGAAAGTATGTCTATCTGTAACACTAAAGACTAGTATGAAGGCGTCTGCCCATCTAACGGTGCCCTCAAAATTAGTTTGGTTGCTTTCCACCTGAAAATATAAAACAATGACGTATTTAAAAATAAAACGATTTTTTCTTCAAGTTTGAAAACTAGAAATGTGTCCGTGCGGTAATGAAATAGGTCTGAAATGATCATCACGGATTTCAGAATTCATTTCACATTTTATTTCATCATATGTATAGATAGCGATGTGTATTGAGTAGCTATAGTCACGAGACGACTGAGAAGAAAGCATTTTATCTGAATCACGTGACTCACCTGACCGGCAGTATCAAGTATTTCCATAGCAACTGGCTCATCGTCAACTTGGCAACTACACGGATAAGTAAACTCTAAAAATAGGCAAAAATACAAAACATGAATGTCAAGTTATTAAACTTAATATAAAATTATCATCATTTAAACAACGATAATGAGCTTATGAATCTTTATCAGTTGTTAGCTTGTCACTCTTGATCAAAGCAGTTAGAAAAGTATAGCAATATAATATAATAGATATTGACACCTCCTTGACAGCTCTGATTGAAATAAATTAAGAATTGATGACATTCATTTGAGAAAATGTTAGATATCATATCGATATCTTGTACTTCAAGATATTTTGAACTAGACTCTTGTTTGACAGTTTGTAAGAAGACTGTTTGTAAGATAAGTTAACTGTCTGGACGGTGTTGGAATTCTCACCTAAAGTAGGGTCGTACTCCCAAATGAACCTCTTAGTCAGGAATCTAACCACTAGTGCTGGAATATAAAAATCAAAAATAATGGGTCATGTTTGCGAAATAATACTTCGGGTTTTTAGACCACACTCAAGTTAAATATACAAATAGTGTTACAAAGTGTCACTATTGTTACAAAAGTGTAACATAATCAAAACCGTCCACCATTTAATTAGGTTTTATTCGATATCCAGGCGACTAAGCTGAAAATATTTCAACGAATCATTATTAAAACGTTGAGTGTGATATTCAAAACACCATCTGGTTTAAAATAATGTTTATGTTCTGTGTTGTTGTTCCACAATTGCACAATACGTTTTCAAGCGATTACAAATTACTTAATGAAAACAAACCAGAAAAATATTTAGGATAACGGATCATTAATCTATCTTACTGTAAATAAATCCGACTCTGGTGTAAAATTAAACTCTGTTCACATTCGTTAAAATCGAGGATTTAGAAAGAACTAATTTTAGAAAACGATAAAAATACAAAATGTATTTATACACATGGGATTCCGAAGAAAAAACTTGTTGATGAATAAAAAGAAATAGAATAGGGAGTTGTATTAGATAGGATCAATGCTTGTAATTGATCACGGAAACAAAAGATATCATTGATGAAATAGACTTCCGATATCTAAGGGATCCCCGTTAATCACGTGATTTGATTGAACCAATGATATTTGAAGTAAATTATTTCGGTAATTTGAAATTTTAGCGTTTCTGTAAATGATTCAACTTCAATCGTGTCGATTCGCACGTTTCACGAAATTTTTGATAAACTGAATAAAATAGTAGATCGTAGTAACTTCCGGGTTGATTAATTCTTTTTAATTTGGTTATCTGGTTAATGTCTTAAATGTTTGTTTCTGGACTGAAGTCAACCCTAGACGGTCTGCTTGGATGATGTTTACACAATGAGATAATAATACCTATGATACCGTAAGGTTGGTTAAAATGTAATGCTCCATAATCAAGGCTCCATTACAGAGAGTTAATTATCAAAAATATAATATGTATAACTTATGGAAGAAACGTCACAATTTCTTATGAGATAAATAATAACAAAAATAACACACATCAAATATGTATATCTTGAAAAAAGAAAAAGATTCAAGGAATTAGAAGTCAAAACAATTCTACGTTCTAGATCTCATTTTAAATATTCCAAGCTAAGAATTAGGCCAATTCTATAGCCGGGAGAAAGGTCAAATTTAAGTGCTTGGAATTCTTCGATTTCTCGTTTTGGCCTAAGTTTCAAATGCAGCTGTGTCACGTTTCTATTGACATATTTTATGAAAAGACTTAGAAACGAAGATAGTCAACGTAAATTCGGCTGATTGGCATACATCAAGCACATTAATCAATTTGAAACGATGCTCTTGACATTATAGAAAAGTCGAGAGCCCATCTTGACATTTAAGGAGAGATAAGGCTCAAATTTAGAATGCAATTTGTAACAGGATGTACTACACATGTTGCAACTTGGTAAGTCTAGAGACCTTAACTTATTTTGTCCAGGACCACCACGGTGTGGGAGGAAAAAATAAATGACCCAACTAAAAACCTCTTGAAATGTTTAACCCTTGACATAAAATGGTCCCAATGGGCGTATCACGTTGTTATACATTAGTGATCTACTATATAGTGTTTTGGTGTTGAAAAGGTGAACCCAGCTTGGCCTGTATCTTCCAGGGCACGTTGTTTCAAGGGTCTTAAAATATCGAGGAGTTAGTAAGGACTGGTAATAGATTCAAATGGCCATTATATCGTAAACTAAGGCCATATTGTGCTCGTGGCATATTCTTATCGTCACTCTATCAGATAAATTGCACTTTATGCGAGCAAGGACCCACCAAAATACCTCAAGAGATTAATTTTACAGTTGCCCATTTGACAAACATAAAACGAACGATCATTTTATTGCCAAAGATAACTTAATCAAAAAGAGGTGACTGAATTTGTCAGGGATACAAAGCTCCGAGGCGGAGTTCTGCTAGTGAGCGTATGGAATCAAGTCAAGGGGTCACAGAAAACCTAATAATTACTAAAATATACCGAACGTATAAAACCGTCTATTGAACACGCTCACATTTAAAAATTGTCTAATTGCCCCAAAACCAATAAAGGGAGTATGTATATTGTTCGTATAAACGACATATAAATAATATAAATCGAAAGGTACATGTAACTCATCATACCAGTTTAGTTACCTAGCTATGGACTCTAGATATTAGCCTAAGTGGGATATAACTGGTGATTATGTACTGCCTTGAATATGATTAATTTCATTTAATAGGGACTAGTCAATGCACGACCCAACAAACGCCCCACGTATTATTTCAAAAATGGAAGGACGAAATGATACAATTAGACAGTTTGTTTGCGTTAATAGAAGGCTTCATAGAATATATTCAGGTAAAAGTCACTTCCTGAATTGAATGTCTTAATTATAATATCCTTTGACAGTGTTAGGTGCCTGACCTTTCGAACGGTGTGTTTGAGTTTCGTGCTTGATTCTCGAGTTTCCCATAGATACCCAGGTTCACTTCAAATACAGGCAAGTTGGTACTAAGTAGATATTATTCCCATTTACAGGGTGTCCCAAAAGTAACAGGACTGGTGCTGGTATTTTTATTCTGCGGCGATTATATGTATAAACTTTCCCATATGCATTGTACTTGGACTAGAAGAACAAACTTCAGGTATGTGGGGTCAATTTTTGTGGATTTGTCAAATCTACCCGTCGTAACATGTCACCTAATGTTTTGAGCCATTATTCAAATTCCATAATACACAAATTTTGACCCAAAATAACTTATTTCACAAATCAAGGCATTGTATGAATAGCAACTGATGCAACATACTGGAGTCTGAAACTGGGTCTGTGTTTTAGATATGTTGCCCAGATACAGTGGTGTCGTGTTACCATGACAACCATGGACATTTTTAAAACTTTGCGGCATCGCCAGTCACGATACATGAAAGTACACTCTGTGAACTACGTTATTGCAGTGAAGTAATAAACACTGCTGCACCAGTTGTCTTATCTATTCTGGTACCAGGGTACACCCTTCATGTTTCAAACACAAAATACACAAACGATTCGAAATGCATGAGAAACGATTTGCGCACTATTACTAAAAAAATGAAGCATTGAAATGACCCTCTGTAAGCTTAATGTCCTGTTTAAGGAGCCCTATTCACTGGCGGGTCCAGAAGCTAACAAGGAGGCCCGAATTTTGTGGCCCGAAAATTTTCGAGGCCCTTAACTTTTTTGTGGGCCCATATAGGGAGGGGGGGGCATGACCCCCCTTCATCCACCAGTGCTATTCTTACGATTTAAATGGATTCTATCAATATCATCCCACATGAATCCACTTGTTGACACTCGATCAACTTGAATTCTTCTGAGATAATGAGGATTTTTTTTCTGCAGACGATCAGTTTCATGAAGGGTATTATGTGCCTTTTTGAGCAGAAATGTAATTGACAATTTCTGTTTATATCAATGCTATCGACTAAACGTATGATGCATTTGCAACACCCATATCAACATTGTGACACACATAAAAGAAGTTGAAATAGGCTATGCATTAATCTCCCCCGGATAGGATTTGAGCATAAGAGGAGTTTAGTAAAACCGTTTTAAACGTGTGACCAGGGTGCTTATCCAGCAAACGGTGCCAACAGTTCTGTATTGCTGGATGATGTCACTCCAACTTGTGGATATCTATTTCATTTTTCAATGCCATAACCTAGAATCCATTCAGTCCCATTCAGAACAAAGTATCTGATCTCTACACTTTTCCATTTGTAACTTATATGAATGAAAACAAAGGAGGTTTGATCCACAAGACTTTTTACTACGATTTACATCTCCCACTACTTCCTACTTTATTTTGCTAAATCCCATACTTTCTACCTCCTTTGTATTTTCAAGCTAGAGTACATTTCATCCTCTAGTTCTGAAAACCCCATCCTTAAGTAGGAGATCCACTCAACAAAGCCCATCGATAGTCGTAATATAGACATTCGGCACAAAAACATTTCGATGTTCAAAAAAAAAAATTTCGACAAATAACAAATCAATTAATTCACACTATTTCGAATCATCACGTTTCTAGATAATTAATTTCTGTTTTATTTGACTTTTTATTACTAGATAAATGGGAAATAAGAGATAAGAGGTTATGAAATATATTCTTAGCGAACTGTTTATAGAAAGAAGGAAATGACCGTACGAATGTTATAAATAAACGAAAGTGCAGTTTAAGTTTAAACAATGTACTTTCCCTTATCTTTTCATCACTTTCACTGCACAATGTCACAAAGCGAACATTTCCATTTTCTGTTCAGTCACTCTACAAACGTGAGTGTTCATTTTTTCTGATGGAATGATTGACTGAAATTAATGTTGTTCTTTTCGTCACAGAATTCAATCAATCATAAAAAAACGTGTGAACATTTTTAATAGACCCTTTTTCAAAATATTTTGAATTTGCATGAAAAATGTGAACCGACTTCATAATCACACGTAGCCATGCACGATATATCAAATTCCAGTGAACAATCAGAACCCTCGTGGATTGTTGAAAATGTGATGACATTTTAAAACAATAAATCGCACATGCTCCACGACACGCGCTTCAAGTCTTTGTGTTCAAGAAACACTGTGCTCAAGTAAGTCAAGTACACGAGAATTGCTGGGACAAATTGGACGGGATCCGGAATTAAAATAAATGTCAAATAGTATACAGAATAATTTTACTTACCTGACTTTCCAACTGCGGGGGACCCCAGTACTGCAATTTTACACTTTGTTCCCATGTTTGTCTTTAAAACACTTCTGCGCACTCCACCTTCACCCTCCTTGATTTCTCAGTGCTTTCAACTGATATATGATTGTTCAAAGTTTTTGGAGTACTTGTATTTAATATCAGTTTATTGATATTCAGCTATTGCGTCTGTCATTCATATTCCTTTACCCCACGTGTCTGGATCTGCTTTCGTTGGCATCGCTTCATAAATATCCCTAAAAATATAAACGTTAATGTCATCAATCTAAGCTTGGCACGATTTCTAAAAAAAACAGTTTCTAAAATTATTTGATTTTGTTGACGACATTCTAATATACGAAATGTATGTTTATCATCAGGAGATCCTGGTTCATGAATAATCCGAGTCAACGTGATCATGCCCTTTTCCTTGACCTTGAAATATGGCCAAGGTCAATATGACATTAATCAAGAAACCTCATTGAATTTCCTCTGGTCAGATTACTTATTAACCAGTGCCGCGGTGCTTTCTAATTTCCAGCTTTCTACCAAATCAAATTTTTGCCAATTTAAGTGAGAACATTATCTCATTCGTTTCTACTTGCTTGCTAAAATAATCCATCAATATCTAAACGTAGTTGGAGAAGATTCTAACCTATGTTGATTCAGGTCGAGATTTGCCTTTTCCATGCCAACTTTGTTTAATTCTGTAAATTAAAATATAATCAGCCGATGTGAACATAACTGAAACTGCTACTGATAAAATGTCAAAAGGCATTTATTTATCTAGTTCGGAGCAGACGGCTGTAGGGTGTGTTTCCTCTGAGGAAGATATGAGAACAGAAGAACGTGTATGCAACATAAACCTCAGGAATGTATTTGTATATTACCTTTAACACACAACGCATTCAACTCTATTCCAGGAATTTTATTGCAGGATTAGCCTGACGCGCGATTCAAAGCATTGAACCGAGTACCCCATGAAATTACACAAATCTTTCCCTAGTCTTCGTTGCTTTGTTTAGAATATTCGCGAAACTGTATAATTGTGTTAAATTCAAACTCTTCTGTTCCACTTATATCAATTGAGATACATCTGGGGTTTGTTTCCGTTTGGCCATCAAATGTTTACACTGAATTAATTTGCTTAAATTGATAACTGTAACAAATCAGTGTACTTTACTCCTTTGGGAGACAATATAATACCATGTGCAGTATGGTCTGATGACGTTGACAGATTTTTTGGCTTTTGAAAGGTTGATTGTTTTATTTCTAGAATATTTATACTCTCAAAGTGTCATTGCAAGTAGATGTTGGTGCTGTTTTTGTTTATTTTGGAACAGTATTGCTGTTGCTCGTTTTAGAGAATTACAGGGTGACACAAAAATACAATTCTTTAATTTTAGAATAAGTTTATGAATAACGATGGGATTTGTACAATGCCTGACACATTGGTATAGATTATATATCAAACATTGACGACTGGCTGAGCAATCAAAAAATAAGATAGATGAGGTAACTGGGTAATTGGCAGGGAATGGCTTCTGTTTTGAGAGGCAATGGCCATGGGTACAGTTGATTTGGCTTCTTAATTGTGGCATCACATGGCCTCACCTAATCCTTCAACCAACCAACCTTTTCCGTATTTTAGGTATGCAGTTGTGAAAAATCGTGTACGACACAAGAAAATTCATAAGGATAATAACATTATAACAATTCCAAAAGTAGGAGAGTAGTAGATGGTATAATTTTGTGCCACCCTGTATTATTTCATGACCTAATCATTCAAACAATAATCAAACCGAAAGAAAACAGACGTTTTGTATATTTCCTTTGTTTTGACCTGTTTCACATGGGTTGTATATCCTGATCAGAATATCCTATTAACTAAAGAATACAAATCGGTTTTGATTTCAGGAACTCTCTGTGATGTGAAGTGGTCTGTAACGAAATAATTCAAATATTCTGATGTATACCATGTTATCGACTACTTATCGGACCATACCTCAGCAGTCCATTGTGATGAATCGAGATCCATAATTGCATCCGGATCTGCGTTAAAGAAACATGGTCGAATAATTGAATATCCCTGGGATGAAATGGAGTAAAAGTGCATAATTATGTACACTCCTCTCCATAAATTTGGCAACCTGAAGTCAAACATTGGCCAAGGCGTTAAAGCCTTTTACAATGAACAAAATTCTGTTCTTAATTGTATTATGTAACCTCAAAGCTTGGCCTCTAATGCCACTAGGCGATTGGCAAGATATTCCATGTGAATTTAAATGTCATGAAATAAATTGATCATCAAATAAAAAAAACTTTTAGATTTAAAGTTTAAACCCAAAGCCATCGTTGATTTTCCCCTCACGAGTTATCATTCACAAAAAAGGTGAACACTATTTTGTTGATTTTTTGGAACAATTGTCGTTCCCAAATAAACAAATGGCAAATGGTGTTTGCTGCAAAGTGTTTTCTTATCGGCATAAGTTAGTTCTGTACAGTTTCATACAATTCAGTACCCAGTCAGCTGTTCTATTGATATTCAACGATATCTTGCTAAAGGTGTCTATTATAAAGATAGCCAGTCGCTTTATCATAGAACACCTACGCCAAAACAAAATATTGTATGTATGGCGTTTTGTTTATTTCTGCATGATTATATATATATATACAGGGTGTCCCGAAAGTATGCCCCCCAGTGTCCTCATAGTATGTGTCATATATCAGGCTTATCCAAAGTTACATTGATTTGCCAAGTATCATGGTTTAACTCCCAAATGGGAAAATGTTACAGTCATTTTAAAAGTTAGTGTTTTGTCAAAATATTACAAGTCAATGTGTCCCCCCTTGGCCATGTTAACAGCAGCAATTATTTTCAGATATGATCTTAAAAGTCCTTCAAATAGGGATGTGGAATTTTATAACCCTCTTAAAACCTGTTAAGGGGCTTTAGAAGAGTTTCCTTAGAGTTTCTACCCTCACCGTTCTCTTTTTCCAACTCAATATCACTCCGACCCGAAAAGAAGATGGCCCGGGAGGACACATTGACTAGTGATTTGGTGTAAAATTGAATTGAATTTTGACCAAACACTAAATTTTGAAATGCCTGTATTTTTTCACATTAGAGAGTTGAACCATCATTGGCGAATCAATGTAACTTTGGATAAGCTTTAAAATGATATATGACACATACTGATGACACAGGACATGTCTGCCTTGGGGGACATACTTTCGGGACACCCTGTATATATATATAATCATGCAATGGAACCAAATATAGCGAAGTGTGGGTAAAATATTAGTAAACATAACGGATTAGTTGAGACTACGGATTACGAGATAACGATTAGTTCGTTAGTCTATCGTTATCTCAACAAATCATTACTTAACGTAGCTTATCATACTCATCAACACTTACGTGTCTTACATGTTATACACATGTAGTCAGTGTGAAAAGGGCACATACTATAAGACTAGAGTAATGTTTTATTAGATCCCGGGTATTAGGTATATAGACTTATTTATAGAAAATGCTACCAGATTAAAGGTGTAATTTATGGTCACGATTACTAATACTAGATTATCACATCTCAGTGGCATACTGTTGTCAAAATTACGTAATGCTACCTATTTAGTAAATATAAGTTGTGCAGTGGAACCATCAAAAAGAGATACGACTATCTTCAACTCTATAATAACGCAATTGTAATGATCGCATTATTGTTTTAAAACCAGATGTAAACTGAGAGTATCACAAAAACTAGTTTCAGGAGCAAATGTTAAAGCCCAGGTGTTTAAGTTGCCAAACTTCTACCGTGATTTGAATTATTGCCAAATATACAAGTTAATTCAATCTAAGATTCAATATACAGTATATATTGGGTATACATACCTTTAATTAACAGAAATTAGGTAATCCTCGTTTGCCCGGTCAAATCTGTTTCTTCTGTTTATAACTCATATCAGTCTAATTGTTTTAGTTGAACAAATGTTGAATGTAAGCGAATATCTTGCTTTGTTTTTTGTTCTATCACAACCATCAACGCCTACCATATGCAGAATCAATCAAAGTTCAATTAACTTCTATTATGCTCATTTGAACCGTATAGGCAATGTTATTCTTTGAAATGACTCCAATTTCATCAAGGCCCTTGAATTTCATGTACCAAGTTAAGATGCATTCTGAATGCTCTGTGAAGAGTAAGTAGGCATACAAACTGAACTGACATTCAATGAATTCGTGATGCTTTCGAGTTGTCAGTCCCTGGTCGAATTAGCTGCAACAATCTGCATACAGGACTTGGTGTTATCAAACCCAGTGAAAGTAACATATTTCTGACATCTGGTTCCTTTAGTAGAAGTCTGTTCAATGTTTTGACAATGGCACTAAGTTGCTGCTGACTGTATTGGCCTTGGTCGGGAGAAGAGAGCCCTATTCCGGTAAATAAATTGTATTTTTATCGCCACTTGTGGCACGACTTTGGACTGGTATCTCCTCTAAGCGTAAACTCAGCGTTCTTTATACGACACCTGTCTGTGGAACGATAACATCTTATTTCACATTGCCTTCTTAATTCTACAGAATTTTATCTATTCATTGACCAGCTGACCTTTAATGATATTCAATGTCCCGATAATAACGCTTTCTATATTTTTTGAATTTCATATTTTGATTGGTCGGATATTGGTCACGTGATAAATGATGATTAGTGGGAAATTCTTTACTTTTCAATAAATAATTGATATGAACAGAACTGAAAATTTATTCTTTTGATAAAAGGAATTAATTTTCCAACTTTCTTTAATTAACCTGAGTCCCCTCTCTCGGTCAAATAAAAGGTTAGTCTCTACTGATTTTGTTTAACTCCCTTTCAATTAAGAGAGATGTTAATCTGAAGTATAAACACTAATTAATAATACGTTCTTAAGTCATAAGTTGTTATTGTTCTAAATGAAACAAAAATACGAACTAAAATTCTAAATATGTATTCATAGTTCAATAATACACAAATGCATAATAGTAGTTGCTCTTGAATCAAACCAGAATAGAAGAAAATGTTACTTTTTAACAGCTGTGACTTGTACTTATTCAACCAAAGAACCTAATTATTGGCAGTTTTAATAATTAAAGAATTAGTATATGAATCTGGGATAATCTTAAAACATAAAATATTTTTTTAATGTACAAAATAGCTATTTAAATTGTTGATCTATTTTATTTACAAAAATAATGAACTACATAAACTGACAACGAACGAACTTGGTCAAAGGATAGATATAGTCGTCCCTGATGATGCTCACCCTAAAGAAAATGGGTCCCTTTTTATAAAGTACCTTACGCTCCCGATTGGGATAAACTAAAAATAAAGACGAATTTGACAATGGAATTAGTACCATATTGAGTCATAGTGAGATAGAAACTCAATTATATTTCCACAGTCTTCAGACATTTTAATAAAACATTTGTTATTCATGTCTTTTATCAGCATTGGAAATGAGTTAACAATTTTTCAGTATGATTGAAAACAGACTCTAAACACAATTTCAATATTATTTAATCTAATCAAATGTTTGTAATCTGTGGTTTGACGTTTAGATAAATTAATACACGTCAAGTACAGACTGAGCGAATGCGCATGCTCCAACTACTAATTTGGATTTGGTTTCATTTTCCACACTTTTATATAGTTGACTTTCATGGCTGCGGATTCTCCATTGTTCTTATCAGCGTTCCATGTTGGATACCATTGTGCTTTAGCGTTCCAGAAATCCAGAGAAGCAGTAGGCGATTTGTTGCTCCATGGCTTAGCGGATGGACTATTTTGTGCTGCATCCGGAAAGTAAGCTGTGCCACCGACGGCAACGTTTATTATAAGGTACATCTAAAAAAGAAAACCATTTATAAACCACTGCCAGCTGACATAACATTACAGTAACTGTATCCGTTTCGGTAAAAAAATCCGTTTTGGTTTCAAGACGTTTCATCTCTTGGACATTTCACCCATAGACTGTTCACCTCTTAGACGTTTCACCCTCTGGATGTTTCGTAACGTATTTTAGAAAACCAACAATGACAGATCGTGTGTACATCATTCTTGCTTGATTTATAGCAAAAGCATTGACATTTTCACGTTGGTGACGATGCGTCTTTTTTAATAGATCTCATACCTAAGAAGCCCATCAGTTCAAAAAATCCTAGAAGACCATAATATATTTTCCTGTGTTGTGCGCCTAATCAATTAGCGATACAATTCTAAACTTTCTAAAATAAATTGTCCAGATATTTTGAATTTTCTAGCGAAAATCAGCTACACCCCTCCGTTCGCCGTTACAAAAGCACAGACTCAAAATCATCAATAAATCTGAAGCGTTTTCATGTTTTATGGCAACGCAATAAGACTTGTCACGAGGTGGAGGAAAAGTTGAATGAGTTGAATGTAAGTTGTTATCGTGATGGCACATTATATCAAAATGCAAGTTATTTGATGGTTACTTGTTTCTCTTGGTTAAAATGGCACAGCATGAATATCGCGATCTTTTACCTCTTTATCAAAAGGAGCCATTCTGGTTCCGTTTCTCCAAGGATTGTCTGAGCCAGGGGTTCGTGTATCAAATTCTCCAAATTTCCAGAAACCGCCGGGTCCAGGATCGACCTTCAGTATCTGTTCACCATCGAGGAAGAATCTAGAAGATTGAAAAGTATGAAATGAGAGATTTGCCACAGTATGATTGTTGACATCGGTCTATAAACCTGATTGATAGCTGATTATGGTATATAATGAAATAATAATGTATAGCTCTACTTACTGCACACTGTTCTCGTCCCATTCCACCCCATACTTGTGGAAGTCATCCGCAAATGTCTTTCCTTGTAAATTCCTGAAAGCAAATTGAAATAAAGCTTATCTTGATTTGTAACGTAGTAATTTGTGAGGTAGGATTCGGTTTTATGAATTTAATTTCCCACCATAATGCATCATAATTAACCATGACATCTCATTTCTCCTCAGCCCTGAGATGTGAAACAGAAATATGCTATGAGTAAGTCGTCCAAATCAACGGTAAAATGCATGCATACACGAAATACACAAAGAGGAGACTAAAGAAAAAGAAGAAACACGTGTTATGATAAAACAGCGTACACTAAACAGCCGAACGTACTTGGTCTTGTGTGTTCTAAGGTACTGATTGTTGCCGAAGTAGGGTCCCCAGTGCATAGTTGATCCCATCTGATCTACTCCAATAGACTCGCCGTCTAACTTGAAGTCCTTGTTGCCCCTAACTTCCACGATATCAATTTCACCAGAAGCGGGCCATTTGCCATATTCTTCTCGCATAGGCACCATCCAGATAGCTTTGTAAAGTACATACAAGGATATGTAAACGTACAATGGGGGATGGATGTAGGCTTTAAATTAATATCTCATGTATTTATATCATCTCACTGCCAAAGAACATTGCCCAAGTTTGTATTGATGCTTACTTGGTCTGTGGTGTGTATGGCAAATAAGCTAACATAAATTAGGCTACCATAGGGACCAAAACAAAACACATTCATGGTAGGCATTGGCACAAGGGCATCACCTACATACTTACCAGGCCAAATCCAATCACCCTCGGGCATTTTAGCTTCTACCTCCACCTTGCCGTACTTGAAGTTGAATGAGTCAACCGTTCTGATCCTTGCAGATTGGACAGGGTTAAGAATATTGCCTCCGTTTCCCTGTCTGAAGCAGCCATAATTCATCCCGCCAGTACATAGGTTTGCGGGTGAGGATCCTGTGTTAAAAGAAGCCAATCAAATATGATACACTGCTATAGTTGAGCATTTTTCAATATCTACATGTATACAGGAAAGAGCTCGAAACACCAAACAAATTAAAACTTCGTCTCGCAAGTCGAACGAAAATTTAAGCTCAACGAAGTATTTTTTACCGTAGATGCTTATTATGAAGGTCTAATCAATTGCAAACACATTTAAAGAATAGCAACTTATAAGTTTAACTGGAATTTTTTTTTACTATTTTACGCGTTTCGTATTTTATGCGTACCCCAAAGATCAAACGTTCCCGATTGTAAAAAATTAGGATCACGGAACGTGTCCGTCGTCAGCGTCTGGAAAAATAGTACAAGAAAATGTAAAGAATGATATAGCTTCTACAGCAATGTATGAGCAACAAATAAATGAAAACATATCAGTAATTATTCAATATTACCACTCTGTTGTAGATCAAGTTTTTCATAGTATCCAGTTTTTCTGATTTCTTTTAATCGCTCTTTTTCTCAAATCGGAACAAAACAAGCTAGGATCTGGTTATTAGGACGAATAAATTGATACTCACTGGTTTTAGGTAAAGACTGCCATCTTTGACATAACTATTGGATCTGTTGTTGACGTAATACTGGAACTCCCAATTCTGAAAAAGAAGGAAATAATTAATTTATGACTTTTGATGAATGACAGGAAATAGGAACAGCTGTTCCATTAAAGTAGCTCTCGTGTCTCGTGTCAAACTAGAAGGGGCATGGGTTATTGGACACATGGACATTTATTTTGGGGATGGTAACACTTTTATTTAACCACTGCTCCCCACCTGTTTATAACAAAATGGATGAACATCCGCCGGAGTATTTCTTTATTTTCATCGTTTTCACCAAGAATGAGGTCGAGTTGTATTAAAATATTTTACCTGAATAGTTACATCCAGTTACTGAAAAAAATCAGGCACGAGTGTATATTTCCAGCAGCTCCAATAATCGAGCGAGAATTCCTCACTTCAGCAGGCAGGACGTTATCTGGTGAATTCCATAACGTCCTAGTTGCGTTGTGTTAGCCTATTAATGTCCTGGTTGCTGAAGTGAGGAATTCTTACTCGATCATCTGAGGCCTTGGATTCTCGTGACTGATTCTCTTTTCAGTATAGCCGGTTGTTACTTTTAACATACGGATAAAATATTCGGACACAAATCGATCTCTTTCTTGGTGAAAATGATGAGACGGAAGTTCATCCATTTTGTTACAAAGACGTAACGTCTTTATAACCAAGTAGGGACCAGTGTAAACGGTAACTAAATGATGGAATGATACTATAATACTTACACCACCACCACCGGCAGTCAGTTCGTGTTGCCATTTAGTAAAATCGAGAGTGTCAAAGTTGTCCTCAAACACGATACAGGGGTAGGTTTTACATGTTGGAATGAGGTCGGCTCCACCACCTCCAGTACACGGGCATGAACCATTGCCTCCACCTGTGTAGATAAGAGTAGTTGAAGTCTAGAAGGTAATGATTGGCTTGATCTGGTGACACCCACGTATAGTTATATCATCACCTCATAATAAATGTATTAATATACCTTTTGTTACTTTGGATCGAAGAAGTAGCGTATTCGCAATCGCAAGATATTTGAACTCATATTTCATAATGGACTTAAAAATCAATGATTTCATCAAGTCGAGATTAAATAAATTACTTGGGGGTTCTGTGACGGGAGGAGGTGTCGACGGCGTGGTGTGGTTGCCAGGGGGACCAGTGTGCTTCGTTGTTGGCGTGGTAACCGTAGTTGTCGCAGTGGTTGGTTTTCTGGTCGTGGTCGGTGCTTAAGAATAAACAACATGTATGCATACACCATTATTTTATGATTTCTTACATTTCATCAGTTTTGCACATTTCTGTGAATCCTCGCAAAAAGTAAACGCAGTTTTCATAAAATCATATTTCTAGTTTTACATTACAGAAAATTGAGCCTCGTCACCATCTAGATTTGTCAAAGGTATTTTCTTTCATTTTTCATTCAACAAATAACAAATAATATTACCATGAGATTGTGCCTCATTCAATGCTACGAGGAGCACCAACACAGTAAATACTAGCATGACTTGCATGATGGTAGCAAAATGTTTGAATGAAAAATATTGTCAGATTTTAATCAGACAAATCAGCAACACGCTGTTGTTTCTCACACTTAATAACTTAAACAAAAAGTACATTTTATCAAAAGCCAGTAAGTACAAGGGACAAATTGACCATTTTTGACAAGGTTAGGAATGAGAAACAAAATGGCACTACCTGCCAGACTGCACTGTGCTAAAAAATGTCAATAGTAGCATTACTTGTGCTTAATTAATATATGATCCAGGCCACAAGAAAAGGGGTCTTATCACAGATTTTTTCAATATTCTTATTTTTTGTTTATCTTAAAAAGCACAAAGAGACCTTTCAAATGAGCCATGACTTATGTTCTAACAAATTTTCCTTGCATATACACTGAAAAGACCAAAATGTCGGATTTGAATTTAGCACACTTCCCCCTTAATCTTGGGCACAATTTTGGCTCTGTAGAACAATTTTAATTTTTGTGATAAGACCGGTTTTCCTATGGCTAGGCTCATATGCATGTCTGTTATCAATGTTTCTCGAATTACAAATATGATGGACTTTTACTCTTGATTTCCAAAAGAATAATATCAATAATAATTCAAAGTGTAGGAGCTAGTCTTGCCTCAAGACCTTGGGATATTCTTTATCAACTGTGTTGTGTAGATAGGGAGCCAGGTCATCAGCCTTGAAGCAAGACTAAGTGGGCGCTCGTCCACAAAACTCGTTGCTATAGTAAGGGAGGATATCTAAACTCAGAAACGGAAAAACATAATGGCAAACTGAATCAAAAGTAAATTGACTTACCTTCGAGCTTGTAAGATTGATCAGTCTCCTGGTATCCGGCCCCATTGGATATGACCAACAACCAAAAGTGAATAGTATCCCCCTCTTTGACAGTCACTTTGTCATTCACACTCACCCACTCATTTCCTTAAACAATTAATGTAATCATATTTTGTTAAATTGAAAAAAATATGAAAACCGTTGTCGACACTTCTGTTCAAAAGGGCGGAATTACAGGCTTTTCCGGCTGCGTTGAGCATACAGCAGCTATTACCAAGCTGATTGGGGAAGCCAAGAAGGAGAAGAAAGATCTCTCTGTTGTATGGTTGGATCTAGCCAAGGCCTATCCTAGTGTACCCCACCAGCTGATTTATACTGCTCTTGAACCGGCATTCCACGTGCGTAAAAGCGCATGCGCATGTAAAATAAGGTACCAACTAGCAATGACTAACAAAACAACTCAAGTTCAATAATTTGTCAAAAACACAGTGATATATGGTCAATGCAATAAATTCAAAAGTTTTTCAAGTTGGCATTTTTCACTACGTTGTTTGATAATTTGAAAGACCCAAACGTGGATAATAATACAATGCTAACATGACCAATTAATGAAGGCAGTTAGCACACAATATCGAGTATTGTCTCCTCGACTAATAAGATTGCTTCATATTTTTCTGCCCGCCTTCAGTCCTCATCACCTGTTTTCGATGTGATGTCAACGTTCCATTCACCCGCGGCTACCCCGGCTAATGGTTGGTTAATGTTGTAATGGAGACCAACGAGAGATATGCCATCACTATCTGAAACATTATATTAAAATATTTCAGTCCTACTAAACTAAATGAGTAAGGATTATTTGTCATTTTAAAAAGGGTGGGGATTTGATAACATTTATTATCAGTTGAAAAAATATTACCTGGGATCGAAAAGCGCAGTCCCCCAGATGATGTACGGGTCCATGTAGCCGTTGGGACTGTAAAATAGGATTCTGGTTGACAACAGACTAACGTGGCTATTGCCAGCAATGTGACAATATGCTTCATCTAAAACATCCAATTGCAAACTTGCTATAACAGTTCTACTGTATTGTGATTTAACTCTGGTTTGCGTTTTTCCGTTTATATTTTTCCGTTCGTGGATTTTTTACGAATGGAAACATGATTGTATCTTAGGATTATTCTAGTTTAGCTGTGTATAGCCTACATGAATATACCGATCAGCAATTTTTGGGAATTTTCAAATACTATATGTCCACCTAGCCTAAATATTAATTTTGTCCTAAAATAAACAAATTTTACAGAAATGAAACACGTCCCCAAACGAAAACAGGAGAGCCAATGGTACCATAAACTGTCCACGTTAATCGAATGGGTCCATAAAAGAAACACGTGGATTAATTTAACGAAAACAAAATTCACAACTTACCATTTTCAATCGGTTGAGAACAATGAACATGTTCATAGAATTGAACAAGATTAAAGATGACACCCCATGCTTTGATTTATCTCCTATCTATTAGTCTAAAGGTTTAGCTTATCCGTTAGGTCATTCGATTCGGGTCCATGAAGAGCAGTGTAGTACTGTACACGTCTGTGTACAAACTAACTTAAAGGTGAAGGTGAAATCTGAATTCACACATAGTGGTGTGTCCGATTCTAGCCAATCCGAACTCAGTATTTCATATAACTGCAGTGCATTATGTAACAAATCACAGCTACCGAAGTCATTCCTTATGTGGTTGTCAAAATGACAAGTAACAGTGAATTCCTGTTAGGCAGCCATTTTGAATTTTCTGAAACACAAATCAGAATTAAAACAATACGATAATTGTGATCTTCCCCATATTTCCCTAAATTTGATTACAATATAGCCATACTTTGAAGGTATCAGAAAATTATTGCGAAATCCCACATAAATTGGGCATTCAAATCAGAAAAATGATGATATTTGCATTCTACGACTAAATTACCTTTCATTTGAGTATGTTAAAGCTATACTTCAGAAAGATCTCAATATTGACGCAAATTCCTGTTGGCAGCCATTTTGAAAAGATGAGAAGATTATTGCGAAATTCCAACATAAGGCGGCCATTTTGAATTTTACGAGTCCCAAATTAGAAAACAATAAAACATTTGAAATTTACTCTAAATTGGCTTTCATTCGAGTATAATAAAGCTATACTTTAGAAAGATCTCAAATGAACGCAAATTCCTGTTTTCCCGGGGGGGGGGGGGTCGGGATGAAAAACTCGGAATATATGTTACATAGATAGATGTTGTGAATATATTATCACAATTTCAAACAATAATATTCATTTACTTGGTTTAAAATGAAAACCAAAAGATTTTCGCCAAATAAACCCGCCATTTCTAAAGCGGCGGCCGTCTTGAAATTTTTTTGCGTAAAACTATTCACCAATATACATCTTTCCACCAATTTTGAAGCAAATCCGTCTCCTAGTATTTGAGTTATCTTCCGGACGGACGGACTAACTGACGGAGGGCTTCACTATATCCCCACCGAACTCCATTCGTTGGGATAATTAAAACCTTAAATATACCGAAGAAAGTCTTTTCCATTGCTTTCAAATACTTATATATTTGGAAGAGCATTGCTATCAATGCACTAGTGATAAAATAGGATATATTCTATGGTTTATGAGTGATACGATTTTTATCCACGAATTGATATTAATATGCACGAGCGAACATCACGAGAGGCAGGTATAAAAAACTGCATTAGAACAACTATGAAAATTCTGAATGTATGTCTAACCCTTATAAAATCAGTGAAATCCATAAAAATATAGAGGTATACACAATGTTAAATCATTGTCATTTGTGCTTTGACTTTATAATATGTATTATTAAATTAAATAGTACAAATGTGTGAATATACATGTACGTATAATTTTAACGACAAATGGCGACCATTTAATAAATAGTGGCCATCTTAAACAAAATTCTTGATCAAAGCTCCTTTATCTTTGGGCATAAGCATACTAGTAAAACTTGAATCAAATCCGTCCATTTATCAACGATTACGCTTTTTACGAAAAAGCTGTCCCCTTAAAAATTTCTTCTCAAACAGAGCCCCTTTGTTTCTAGGCATCGGCACGATTATAAAAATCCAACCAATATATCTTATGGCAAATGCGTTATCAAAGATTACTTTTTATACGAAAAATGGCCGTTATTCTGAAACTCAGTGAAAATGTCTCATTGAGCAGAGGACTCCATGAACCAGGATATAAAAGTTGAACCCAATCCGTCAAATGGTATTTTTACGAAAAATGCCAGCCATTTTAAAATTCAGCTGCCATCCTGAAATTCCTTCTCGAGCAGAGTTCCTTTGCCCCTAGGCATCAGCATGTATCTAATCCATCCACTGGTATTTGAGATTAGGCCTATGTTTTCTACGAAAACTGGCGGCCATTTGGCAATTCAGAAGCCATCTTGATAATCTCTTCTTGAGCAAAGCTCCTTTGTTCCTACTCCCTAGGCATAGTGTTTTAGTTATCAACGATTTCAATTTTTACAAAGATGAAGGACATTTCAAATTGAGCGGCTATGTTGAAAATTCCTTCTCGACCAGAGGTCCTGCACCCATGAGCCAAAAATTTTGAGTCAATCCGTGAAACTGCATTTGAGTTATCGTCCGGACAGACAAACGAACAGACGGCTACTCTATATCCCCCTCGAACTTCGTTCAATGGGATAATTAATAGCATTTTGTTAAGGTTGCTTGCAAGATCTGATACTCCCTTTACTTTCAAACCAATATTGCAAAAAGATCGTAAATCGTAAGAACATGAAATGACAAAGCAATATGGTCAAAAAATCAAATCGTCATTCAAATGCAACAGTGCGGCTACAATACAATGGGTAAACATTCACAATGTTGAAACAAGGAAAATATATACAAACCAACGAGAATTTATATTTAATTTTATTTAAAATATAAATGAAGCTTATATGTAGTTATATTGTAATGCACTAGTGGCAATACGGGTTTGGATAACATTTACAGCCAATGGAATCATTGTTCTGTTGTTCGTCGTCTTTTGTATAAAATAAAACATGGGATTGAAAATATCACAATGCTTAGTGATAAACACAACATCATTAAAAACAGCAATGAGTATTTCAGACCATGTAACCCAGAAGACAGTGGCGCCACCAATACGGTCATTGGTCCTCCAATTATCATTATGACGAATTGAAAGATGGCGATGTAGGCGGGTCCCTTGGTTACATGTGCTTGATCCACAACCGCTGCAACACAGACTCCGATCCAGCTCTCAGAGATGAAGAACACTGGTATGAGGAGGATCTGGCTCCACGGTGGAGGGGTAAAGAAAACAGCTGTAATGAGTGGCATGCTAATCACCTAAAAAACATATTTATCATTTGTCAATTAATTATGATTGATCGAACGGTGAAGTTTTCGACGATGAGACTGACGTCTCCGGCCATGATTTTTTGTCAAAATTAAAACATATTTGTATAATATATGAAGCTGTTGTAGTGAATGCAATTTTAAGAAAGACCGGGGTCAAATATTTGACATTTATTAAACATAAGTTAAAATAAATGCAAACACACCGATATAAACCAAGTCCTTATCTCGAAGTACGGTGTATCTGTGTATGTAGTGTACATGCAAACCTAGCGTGACATACATGAAACTTCAATAATTTTTAACAACGCGGAATGCTATGAATTATAACACGAACATAAACTAACATGGACACCTAGTCCTAAAATAAATCATTTAAGAGAACATAATAAATTTACCATACGACAAATACCTGGAACTTACAAAACTAAGGAGTAATATGATGAGTCTCCCAACTGGGCCGATGCGTTTGAACATAATATCAGAAAGTACCCCACCAGCCATTGCGCCGGAAGCCCCAAATACTGGGATAATCCAGGACAACCATTTCTCTACCTACAACAACATATATAAGCTGAATATGAAAACATTTATCCAATTCAAATATCCGCTTAATTTGCAATTTAGCAAAGATTATGCACGTTTATTGAGTCAAATACCCACTTTATACTAGTACGCTGGGTATTTTAGTTACTATCTTACAAATACAGTGATACAATAAAATTCCAGCCTAGCGGGAATCCACTTATGAGAGACTTGGAAACATGTGGATACTAAAAAAATTCTTTTCTTTTCCGTATCATGTACCCAATTGTTTTAGCGAGTACTAGTAATCGTTATAAAGAAGTAGTAGTATACTAAGTCATGATCTGAGCCCCGAATCTAACCCAATCCCAAAGGTGGGGTCAATACCATTTTCCAGTGGTCATATATCCCTTGAATACCTCAAAGGACGACCTCAGCATAATATTTATTCATATCACGCTTTCTATCTACCAAGGGTTAAGAAAATGCCATAACTCCTTGTTTTTGACAGTATTGCTATTGTATTTGTTTCATCTTCTCATTTGTTTATCTTAGATCACTTACGTTGTTGCATTGTTATATTGTCAGCTGTTCAGCGAATGTCATGTTCAATGCTTAACGTCTTTATTCTTCATCGGAATAGATATTTTGTCTCAGTACGTAATATTCGGTGTGTTTGTGCGTGTCACTCATTGCCAGACATTTTGGGGATCATAAAAGCCTCCCGAGGGGAACAGTCGATTGCGATGTGCTCACTTACCCTTATCTTGGGATGGTAGATGAAGTAGAAGTTGTTGATGTTATAGCCAAATATAAGGCCAGCGCCCATACGTATAGCACCCCCTACGAATAATGCAACCAACACAGGATTTCGAATCATTGTCCAAAAAAGCTTTGCGGAGTCTCTGAACATATTTTTTAGACTTTGTTCATCGGTCTTTGCCTCGGGTGTTGACTTATTGACTAGAGGGGTTTCTTTTTCATCTGGATTTTGCAATTCTTTATCTGAAACATCTTCTGATTTAACATTTTGATTGTCATTCACCTTCGATAAATCACTTAAAAGTGTGTCGTTTTGTGTTTGATCCGTTTTTGACACTGGATTGTCTTCTTCGGGGGATTTCGATTGACTTATGTTTCCCGTATCTTGTGGGTCTTTGTTCCTGACAGTAGCAAGCACGAGCAAAGATAAGGCCGCTCCAACAGAGCCACACAAATAATATATGTTCCTCCAGTCTGTGACACGATCAAGAGCGACGAACAGGAATGCCATCGAGAAACCAAGATAAGTACCAACGTTAAAGAACGATAACGCTTTGCCCATTTGTTTCTAGAAAACAAAATTGCAGTTGTGTAGATGTTTATGCAACATGAAATAATCTGAAACCTTTACAAATGACCTACTTAAGAAGTTCTTAGTTGTTGTTTATCCCAAATATGATTCATAAAAACTCAGTAGCGGTTGTTGAAGAATAATTGAAGTGGTGCTTAAGTAAAGTGCGTTTTTTCCAAAAAAGATTTGTGATTTGGGTTAATTATAAACAGGTGGAGTAGCTATAGGCTAGGTTGATATCTTACCGGGGGGAAGTAGGCTGCAACTATTCCCAAATTCACCGCCATCCCAGCTCCAGCACTGTAAGTAATGTTGCAAATAAAATATTCAATATAGGACATGCATCCCGATGCACTGCTAGATTGCACATCAAGCGTCACTCAATGCGAACTTGGTTTTAATGCGAAAAATTCAATATTCTGATAAGAGCTAAACTCAGGCTTTTTCAGATTTTATAACTCATACTGAATATCAAAATTGATTCCCTACTTTTCGAGGAGCAATGCCTGACTTACGAAGCACCCATGAGGAGACGAGTTATCGCCACTTGCCAGAACGTCCTACTGGAACCAGTCAAAATTGCAAACACACTCCATAATAGAATACATACAGCAGACATAAGCCGGGGGTTGATTTTACCGCTATGAGCTAAAATACCTAAAACATGTACAGAAAACTGAATTTAATTTTCTCATTGAATTTGTCAAATGAGTATAAAGTTTGGCAACACCAGACAATTTCTAAACAACTTAAGATTAATTAAAAACTAACCCACGGGAAAATGACTGCATCCAAATATGACAACAAACAGGGGTCCTGCCAGTACCTGGAACGCCACTCCCGTACCCATATAACGCCACTTGCACTGCGCCGACGGTGCTGTTGTGATGTTTAAATTTAGCGACGTTGTTGTGTTTGATTTCAGCAATGCGTCCGCAAGGCACCTGTATTTATCAGCGTTTATTAATGTATTTGTACTCATGAATATAACGCATGTTTATGAAGTATTATTTCAAAGTAAAACTGAATCAAAATTATTCACGTATTGGTATAAGTAGCACTCGAACTTAAAATTGTGTGTAGAAATAAAAACATCTAGATCTTTTCGAATGTCAATTTTACAGGAAAGGAGTGCTTCTTTCACTTGATTCATTTGACACAAAGTAGAATGGATACTAATATAACAATACCAATGCGTCTAAAACACTCTATGTAGGCGGAGCCTGTGGGAGATATTTGGTACGGCGTTGGGTGCGGAGTCTACGGTCATTTTTTAATTTAAATTTAAAGCTTAACATGAGTACATTTGAAGTCCCAAAACGGCTTAATTTCAGAAATATCCCAAATGTAAATAAAAAAATGACCGTTGACTCCGCACCAAACGCTCATTCTGTAGCATCAAATATTTCCCACAGTCTCCGTCTGCATAGGGTGTAAAAAGTATACATATTCAGGCAATTTTATCCATTATAATACTCATCACATCATTCTGACTTCAACTATAAAGAAGCTAATAGAAGACCATGGTTTCTCATGATGGGTTTTACCGGGCTGGGGGGAGGGGGTATCAGGAATGGACCCTTATTGGCTATTACAGTTTTATATGCAGTACCTAAATACCTGTAAAATCGGCACTATAATGGAAGCCATTTTTTGAGCGGCCATTTTGAAAATCGGTTTTCGAGCAGAACTTCCACCCACATTGGGTATATATGTACAAAATATGAACAAAATCGGGCCAGCGGTATTTGAGTTACTGCCCGGACGGACGTACGTACGGAGGCGTTCCCTATATCCCTTCGAACTTCGTTCGATGGGATAATAATCCATACACCACAGACAAAACCTACGATGTAATGAATGATAGATCACTTCAAAAATAAAACTTACATATCTCCGTCTGCTATACATTGTGGTGAAACAGGAAGCGTGCTGTTTGGTATGACGTAAACCGGATCAGCCATGGAGTTATTTTTCGTCCCTTCGAGGGTTTCACCCATCACTTCTCCCGTCCCACAAATTTTGTCGCCAAACTTTAGTTCTGCAGACATACTTCGAATTGTGGCAATAAGTGCAAATCTAAAATCAGGTTGTACAAATATCTTACATGAAATATAAAACAATTGCTTTAAATTATAGAATTTTTGTCAACGCATGATTGACTTTCCCTATGTTAAAGTGCTCTGAAATTCTGATTAATGATCAGTATGAATAAGAATAACGAAATAAATACCACCATTAGCAATCAATGTACGAGGTGACAAAAAACAATGATAGATGTTACAAATCACTGCAATGAGAGAATTAAGAATCGGGCACAATATCAAAGATCAATCGACGATAACATCAACAGTCAGTGATAATACTGATGATCAACATCAATTTTGACTGTGAATGATAAATAATGATAACACGAGTTAATGATAACATCAACGGTCAATGATGTGTGTCATAATATGTGTGATCAACGAGAACATCAATTTTGACTGTTAATGCTCAATGATTATATAGCATATGATAACACAACAGTGAATGACAGCATTGGTCTGTTGGTGATCATTATCAACGATAGCATAAAATATAAACTTTTTACGATCAATAATGATAGGATTGATCGACAGTCAATGATAATATTGACGATTATTACTCGGATAATATTAACGATGCTTAATTTGAGGATCTCCTATAGAGACATCAACTTACTGACACATCTGGTTGCTTAGAAGGGAAGCCATCATTAGTAGCAATACATAATATTTGTAGATCCTCGTACATCGTGTCTTCATAGTTGGCATTGTAGTTCGATCTCTAATTTCCCTATTAATACTTCCAATAGAAAAGCCCTACGACTGCATATTACATTCAAACCCCTGAATGACTTGTTGATATTCCTTGAATGTTTAGCCAGCATTCATTTCAGAATCATCCGTAGTCACGATCGCAAAGCTTAATGCTAGTCGAAGTGCTTCGGCTACACTGCTTGTTTACAGGAAATCAGTCTTCTTTAAGGCTGTACCCGTACAGAAAATAGTACCTCGGACTAGACGTGCAATGCTGGTTTTGTCTCTAAATTCAATATGAAATCAAAGTAAATTGATTTCAATTTGAGCAAGTGTTGAAGTCTGTTATTTTCACAGTCGCACTGTATTGATATAATGCGCATGCAAATCAATTCTTCTCGACACTAGTCTTCACTGCGTAAGGCTATGGCGTAAAATATCAATTATTACGTTGAGAATACGACACTACGAAGGCGCGACACGGCTGTTATTTGAACCTTCAATAATCAGTCTAAAACGCCCTTGGATTTTTTATAAACAATACTGTACATCAGTATAAATATAAGGTTGTTATTCATTTCATCTGCAATGGCCTTTCATTTGAGAATGTAAACATACTTCACAATGATGTACACAACACATGGTTAATGATAATAGTTGAACGTAGTGCTACGCTAAATATTTCGATGTAAGGCATCACTAGTCTATTATTTAAATGTAACTTGTTTCCTCATATGAGTTTTTAAGGCCTCGATAAATGGAGCTTTTAAAGCCTTATCTTTAAATTCTAGGAATTTTTCAGATTTCCAAGATGCACCCCCCCCCCTTTGTTGGTTCCCGGATCCGCACATGCTGAAGGCTCATCTATGTAGAAATATAACTTAGAATAAATGCTGTATCATATGTCATGTAAACTATCTCGAGCAGATGTCAACAATCGGGCCCACTGCGCTAGTTCACATTTAGGTTGTCCAAACCTACACTGCGAGCACAGGATTTTATTTGAAAGGCGGCTCCAAAATTTATATCTAATATGGCTCCATGGCAATTGTGACCAATTATTATTTTAAATGTTTGAAGTTACGCAGCACTTTAATGGAGTGAGTATGTATTTTCGTCCAGTTGTGTTTATAAACTTGACATGCCTTATCTCCTAACTAGTTGTTTAAGACACTGATTTTAACACATGTGTCATGAAAAAAGTTATATCAGTGCTACTTAGATCAACAGTAATCTAAATGCCACAATAACCTACCTGATACGACTTACAAATAATGTCAAGCAGTGACCTGGCTTTCTTACCACCATAAATAAGGTGCACATAACTTGTTGCACTGGTTGTTGTGAGTTTCCTAGAAATTAAGATACCAATTCCATATCATGATTTTGAAGAGTAAAACTTCATCATTTGCTTCAAAGTCGCACAATAGTATAGTTAGTATAGCTTTTGAAATCTCACTACATCTCGTTTTTCATGAGATTTTAAGAGATTTGCATATTAAACCTGTTTTGACTTACTTTGCCTTCTTTAAATGGCATATGTGAATTCAGTGAACTGTTTTCTTCAAGAATAACTTTGACTTATAGTAATATATGTTATTTAAATCATTTTCCATGACTTTTAAAAAAAAACTTGTGCCAAATCTCCATTGATGCAATGTTTAGATTCTCTAAAAACCTTGGTTTATTAGTAAAACAACCCAACACAATAAGTATGTTATAAGGGTCATCACATGATATATCAATCAAGTTAAAAACAGATTCAACCAACACTTTCTGATAAATCATGAAATAAAGTCACTTTTCGAGGATCTTAAAGGTAGGGCAAAACTATAAAAGATAAAGTCAGTTAGAAAATGATGTAATAGCACGTTTGAAAAGGACAGGTGGCGGTAAACCCCTCTTTTAGCCCCCCTACAAAACAAGTATATATTGACATGGAATTGAAGAGGAAGTATGACTTATTACTTAAAATGCGATTTCTGAGAATTTAGACATTTGACCTTGACATAAGGGTGGTTTAAAGGTCAACTTCGAAAGATGCTATTTTTGTCAAAATTTTGCCGTTTTCTAATACAAGAAATGAAAGCAATTGGCTTAATTTTGATTTTGACTGATAACAAGACATGTGAATGGAAATAAAAATATTTTTGATCAATTCTCACGGGCAATTACATGAAAATCTTGAGAATAAATCCCCATATGGGCATTTTTGGGGGGACTAAATTTTCCTGTTTCAAAAATGAATGTTCTTGTTGCCTTTTGAGACTCTAACAGTTTCCTAATGTTTTAAGAGTTGGGATGTGATTATTATTTTAAATGCCCATGGTATGGGCATTTCCAATGTAGATGCCCATTGGCATCTACATTGGAATTTGAAATTATATGTCTGTATGGAGACTTAGTTTTAAAGTTATTTGCCAATTAACAGTTCCCATATTTGAATTTCAATATGTATCATAAAATATAAGGCAGCATCATGTATAAATGGCATGACACTCAAAAGATTGCCTAAAATAATTTCTACTTATTCCCTGTTCAGAAAAACACTTAGGCCATTCAAAAATTTTTATAATTAATGTCACTAAATTCTATATTTTCAGAAAAAAACAAAATGTCCCCATGTACTCTGTACTTGTAATGCATATAAATGACAGAGGGAATTGTGATCATGAATTATATTGTATTGAAATGAGTTCCAAGATTGATTAAAAACTATTATTAAAAACATGTATATAAGCTTTAGTATTGTCTTCATTAACAAGGTCATCTGAATCAAGAGGTGTTACTTGCTTTTCCACGATGTGTTATTGCATTTTCACTATTAAATAATTTATAAAACCCTTTAAATAAATAAAGGTTTTGTAGTTTTTAATATAAGGCCCTTCATCAGAATGCCAACATATAATTAATTTTGAATGGCCTAATCTCCACATGCAGTTATGTAGTGCACATGTATGCCCAGGTTAGCAGCCATATTGAAAACATAAACCAGTCAGCCTAATTTTCATCACAAAAGTTGAGTTTTAGTGGTGAGCCCTAACTCCCACAACAATGATATTTGCAGAAAAGCTACTTTACAGTCTCTGCATTATACAGTTTCAATATCTTTTTTGTGGGAGAATGGGCTGATGGTTAAATTTTCAACGAAAGGAAATGAGCACCATGCTAAAACTTGATAACAAAGTGAACAAAAAATGACAATGTTTCCCAGATTTGCATCGGTAAACTTCATACATAGCTTGATTTTTTTAACTCCGAATGCTTGTATGCCATATGTTCCAAATAATAAATTCTATGTAATGATAAGTTTTGATATTAATTTGATGGTAAACATAGTGTGTACCCATATTCAGACAGTCTTGTGATAGGGGTTCTTACTGCCACTTTTTCAAAGAAACTGAAAACTAATGCCAATCTTGAAATTGCACACCTCAAGAAAAAAGGTTTATCTACAACTTGCAATCGGTTTTGAAAGTAAATGGAAGAATGAGTTTTTTGGAAAAAGTCTAAGTTGAGCAATAGTCTGTTAAATGGACCTGTTCTTTAAATGTCCACAGAAGCTGACACTTCAGACCTGTTTTTCCATATATTTCTAGTATTTTTGCATAGAATCAGCTAAACCGTGTCAAGGTTATTCATGAATATATTCTGAATCTGATGGTAGTTTTAAAGTTAAATAGTAGTCCCTTTCTGGCTTGAAAAACGTAATGTATATAAAACTGTTATAGCATTTATATAATAGGCTGCATCAAAATGTGGTTTAATTTACCATATAGCAAGGAATCCCTGCCTTTAATATGGAAGTAAATGGAATAAAAGATGGATTTCATTCATTTTCAGCAATTTAGAAACTATCTCATTGAAGCAAACCTTAATTATAATGAGTTGTATAAAGTATTATGTGTTGGTTCAAATTGATCAAATGAGGGAATCATCACTTAGAGAAGCTATAGAACGGCAATCCAAGGGGTAGCATATTCCAATGAACACCGTCCATATATATATATAGACAATATATCTAGCTTTTGATTATATTTATTGTGATCTACTATTCAGTATGTGACATTTGCTTTGAATTTAACGGCAATTCACGTTTTGGAAAGCCATTTTGAATTCGAAAAGCGAAACAATATCTGTAGTCCATTAAGAGGAGGGAAAACTCAAGATTTTTAGAAATAACAGACAAAATTACGTCTCTTGCTTATCACTTTCGTTTGTTCTTTTCCTGTTATCTGATTTGTCGTTGAATTTGTTTATCATAAACCTGATTAATTGGCTCCCTGGTTCAATGCGCTTGTGGGCTCTTGTGTGACTCAATGGAGATTCCCCTCGACAGCCGAGGAATTGATTGTGTTTAATTCTGGAGTTTGGTTGTTCTGTTGATTATTTCCGATATTTCGGCAATAATATACCCAAAAGTTATTCTCAAGATATATCCATGGTATGTGAGATATTATATGAGCAATAACAATAGGACATCATTGATTGTCTGGGGAGAAACCTATGGCATAATGCATCTTTAACGTGGCTTATAACCCTGTTTATTTTTTCGTGAAGCCACTCAGTAAAATTATGATTTCTCTGCACCCTGATGTCCAGTCAAAAATCATTCGAGTATCTATGTGTTCCTGACACGTTTGGACATCCGAGAATGACAACATCTACACAGAGTTTGCACGCTATATTGACGTAATTTATGACTGAAATGGGGAAGACAAAATTCGAGATACACAAATAAAATTGCTTGTGAAAACTATTTACAAAAGTGTTCCATAGACTAATCTACTTTGCTAAGGTTTTATTTGAAGATACATTGCCTTATCAAGCAGGTAGAGAGATATAGAGTCCATTTCACTGCTTCCTTTCGTCAGTAGAACGGCAAAAATAAGAAATTGGGAGACCACTGTGCAATAATATATGGAAAAGTATATTCATAATGTACATGAATGACATTTGTATATCTTGGATCGCTTCTAGTTTGGCTTATAAAGTGTGTGGCCTCTTATATTTGGATGTTTCTCTGCCATGTAATTTTCAATAAGATTAACATGGCTGAAATTCTTCAAATTACAAGACGGCATAGGCTTATTGCACAAATAACTAAAAAATCTGAAATATACAAATGTCATTCATGTACATTATGAATATACTTTTCCATATATTATTGCACAATGGTCTCCCAATTTCTTATTTTTGCCGTTCTACTGACGAAATGAAGCAGTGAAATGGACTCTACAGAACACGGAAGCAAATGCCGTATTGAAAATGTTCTATAATACAGTTTGAACATGACACGTAGGCCAGTGTTTTATAAGGTGATTAGATGTACCTTACTTGTTTACATGAACGTAAAACATTGCATAAAATCTGCAGTTTTCCGGGTTTTCTCTGGGTTTGTATTGTCTCATTGGGGCTTTCCGACTTTAAAACAAACGCTTACCTAAATAGATTTGTGTCTCGGGAACATTTTTGTAAATAGTTATTATAAGCGGAAACCATCATAAAATATAAGCAAACTTAAAATGATAGCACACCATTTTGTTTTTCCGATTTCACTCATAGATTACGCCAATATGGCAGGGTGCAGAGAAATCATAATTTTACTGTGGAAAAAATAAACGGGGTAATATGCCACCTTAATCTCCTGAAAAATACAATTTCTAAGAGTGTAACCGAAGACGGACGGAGGACTCCACTAATTCATTTGGTTTATGCTAGGATTTAACTGTTTAACAAGTCATCAGACAGGGCAGTCAACAGCTTGAACAACTTTGGGACATAGACTAGATGCGAGTATAAAGAATCTGAATTTACATCATTAAATACTAGTATTGAAAATTCAGTCAAAGTGATGTCATGTATGAAGTCTACCAGTAAAAGTACATCTAGAAATATGGTTTCGAAAATTGTTTATCAACTTTGACATTTTATTTTTGAAAATGGGAATCCTAGTTCGGGGGATTCCCTATAGACAGATACCATTTTCTTTGACATATTCTGATTTGGATAACTATTAGAAACATAAGGGCGATATGTAAATTGAACCACTGAATATTAAGTTAAACATGTTAAAGGGAAATTTCTACAATACCGGCCATGCTAAACGAGCCACCTGGATGTGAAACTGGTAACTTCCTACTCGCATCCGATTCATTATGCATATGCAAAAACCACTCATACACAACTTTCTATACCGACTCAACATAACAGATTAATATAGTTCTAGATGAACATTTATTTCATATAGTAGAGGTTTTACTATATCTCCAATAAAATGTGCTTTTTCACCTAGTTATATGAATTGTACAAATGATAATTCAACCTTGAAGCAAACAAAAATGCAAATTATGGAAAACGATCTCCACAGTGATGTATTTCAATCTTTTTTAAACAATTCCATGCATAAAGCAATTGAAATAATTAATTCAAAAACACTGATGTGTTGGGGAACTAAGTTAATATTAACAAGTCTATTTCAAACTTATGTATTACAGCTGCATTCTTAAGTGTATTTTGATGTAGTCTTCAAATGCTATTCACATGTACCAAATGTTCACACTACAAGTGCAGAAGAAGCGAAAACTGCACAAGTAGAGTTGAACCAGAGGCCTGGGGTATGTCAAAACTGTAAATGTACTATACAGTATTAGGCTTACCAAAATGTCAAGTGTACATACGTATTCGAGGCATTATGTGTAGTCAAAGTGTACATGTGTACACCAGGCCTACCAACATATCAAAAGTGCATGTGTACCTCAGGATTGCTAGTATGTCAAAAATGCACATATGTGCACCAGTTCACGCATATCAAAGTGTTTACCAATGGCTAGTATACATGTGGCTTATACCAATATGGCAAAATTGTAAATACCAAAAGCTTACTGGTATTTCAAAAATGTACTTGAGAACCAAAGGCTTACCAGCTTACATGCGACTCCAAGGTGCACATGTTTACAAAAGCTTCATAGTCATACCATATATGACATACACAGGGTAACAAACATGACACTTAACAGCACACTTAAGTCAAACCAATTTTCAAGTATACCAAAAAGCTATCAATTAAATATGATTGCATTTGACTTTTTGTGCTATGATTTTCAGGCTACGCAGGTAGTATGCTAAGCAGGTACCTATAGTACTAAAGATATAAACAGACATACAAACACATACTATTTACATTTACATGATTTCTGTCCTTTACAAGACCCACCTGTATAGCCAAAAAAGCTCTTTCCTCCTTGTTATCAAAGATCAAAATCAACCATTCACTTATTAAACATTTCACTCAAGTTTGTGTTGCATTCAGAGCTACTTATTTGTTTTTTCGTTTTCCTCTTGAACTTGAAGTTAATACTGCTCTTTTAAACTAATAATTATACATTTCGGAATTCATTGTTTTACAAGTCATTGCATTACGTTTGTTATTAATAAGAGCTGTTCTCTACATTTTAGTTAGTTCCCTGTAGTTGTTGCATGTTCAAAACTGCCTTTCACCCCTGCCCCTTCAGTAGTTTTTACGATTTTTTTGTTTTTTGGCCATAGTGGACAAATATGAGATTTCACCATATAAGTACATTATGGCTGCTGTACAGTACAAAGCAAGTGTGATCGGAATTTGGGTAAAACTGCTCTGAAGAATATTTAGAAGGTATTGGTGGGTTATGTTAGACTTGTTGTGTACTGTATAGCTAGATGTGATAGCATTTTACTCATTGCTATTTCACTTATATATTTCTTACAATCTTCTACACCAGTAGCAAGACATAAAACATGGCTTTCTTACCCATGGACAATTTATAAAACTCATAGGATTTTATAAATAAATGTTCATTATCCACTCAGCTATGTCATAACACGTGTGTTACAAATACGCACACTGGTCGAGATAAAGCATTCCTGTGAAAATGAACCATTTAAAAGTCAAATATAAATTCTCAAGTTTATTTACATTCTTCTGGTTGTACGTAGTATGTTGTCCAAGTTGCTCTTAAATTTTTCCAACACATTCTGCAAGTTGCTTTATGCAGTTTGCTGGGCTGTAGATCCACCATATCCACCAGCCTTCTGGGCAAAGCTGCCTCTTCCACTGTTGCCAAATCCTCCTCTTCCACCTTGACCACCCCTATTGTTTCCTCTAGGAGCTGCAAGAACAAAGTGATTCATGAATAAAGATACATTTCTATTTCTTTGAATATCTTGTGCATTTCCCACTTTTCTGCTATTTATGACTCATGCAAACAAATAATCCATGTGACTTCAGTTGGAGGAAAGGGTCAACTGTAACTTGTTTGAGACAATTTTGCAAGAGCTCATTTACGAAATCATTCTTAGCCATGACATTACTTTATCATTATAGAGACTATCAGATCTAGCAAGCAGGCCAAACAAAAATTGTTTCAATTTTAGAATATTTCTGGCTCATGTCATTCCTTGTCATGTCGATTTTCTAAAAATCCCCAGAGTACACACTTTATTTCAGGAAAACTATTTTGACAATAATGTATTATTTTCTATAAAAATGGTTACCATTCTTATTATTTTGGAGAAAATAAACATCTTTCACCCATTTTTGCACTTTGAATCTATGATAAATTCACTAATTTATAACATATCGTGAATCTTTTTGAAGATATTTTATTTGAGATTGTAAGGGAAAGATTGGGAGGTCAATTGTACATGTTGCTTGTAATTTTGTCACCCCTATAGATCTGATTCTGCCTTTAAGCATCATAGTTTAGAAATGATTATGAATTCATGAATTTTAGAATTCCTACAGGGAAATCGCAATTGCCATAGATAACAAGATACATGTATACTTAGCTTACATCAAAAGAAAGGACATGAAGTAATTCAAACAAGCATGACTCTCAGCTACACATATCATAAATTGTGTCAACATTGCCTGTAGTGTTTTCATTGTAAAACAGAAACCTAGGACAGGGATTGTACATTATAATGCCATAAATGCTCTTATATCTCAATGTAAGTGGATGCCGAGGATTAGTAAATCAATATTCCAATGAACATATACATGAATCTATAAGAACTAATAACAAATGGCACTCTGATCAGCATAAATGATGTCTCACTAAAGCTTGCATTAGTACTTAAAAACATGAAATGGTGCAATCCATGCTTAAAATGTAACCCACATGCTGAGTTCTGTGATTACACTCAACAGCATCTCGTTTCAGGTTTCCATTGTTTTGTGATGGTGAGATGATAATTCCAGTTTCCTCCCTCATTTGCATGATTTAAAATGAAGAATTAAAATATGACTGAACGTGTGTATGGTTAACATGTTATGCATGGTTGTACATTATAAGGAAACAGACCTCCACCCCGCATGCCTCCACTTCCTCCTCTAGGTGGCGCCCCACTACCACGTTTGCTATTGTAACCTCCATTGGCATTATCTCCTCTATTGTTGTAGTTATTCCCCCCACTGAAGCCCTGGTAGCCCTCTGGACGGTAATCACTACGGGGAGGGTATCCTTGGTATGTTCCACTAGCTCCTAGAATATGTTAATATTCACCTTGTAAGATCTGTAGTAGATTCTACTGTTTCCAAGCTCAAGTAATGGTGTTAGGTTAAACCAAAACAAGTATGTATTATGGTGCAAAAAATAGAACTGCACTATGAACAATTTTAGGAGCCATGCTTTTAATATAAACTATGAACCAGTGCTTAGTACACCAATGAACCTAAGAACTTCTGAAAGCCAATTCAATCAATAATTTAGAAGAAATCACTGTGAATACAGCAATGTTATTATTTAGTTGAAAATGTGTGTACAAGCCTAACCATCGACAATGTACAGTGACAAAATATACCGTCGTACACTTTAGATGTACAGTGTCACTATTCTAATATGAAGGAAAACGATGATGTCGGTGTGGTGTAGGTTTTAAAAATTAATCTGAGAAATACTTAAGGGATTTTATGTTTAATTTTGTGTGTATTCGATTTGGAAGACATTTACCTTTCTAATTCCGTGAAAAGATTTTCGGGCAGTGCTCGAGTTTTTTCGTAGTAAATCTACCCATCAACAATGATCGGTTGGAAAAATTTTTTTTTTCAGATTCATTTAAAACTGAAACGGGACAATCCAGTATTAATAATTCAACTTGATTGAACTATATTGAACCTCTGCACTTTCCAGATATAGCATAAACGGGATTTCGAAAGTCATCTTCGATTAGCTAGTATAGATCTCTCCATGAACTCCCTAAGATTATTAAATTTCAGTGCAACATAACGTAACATACCGACGCTGAATGGTCAAGGAGGTTGGAAGATAACACCCCATGGTCAGATATTAATCACAATATCAACACTTTCATAAAATAAAATAGCATTCAACAAGAGGTAAAAAATCACTTTTACCTGTTTATCTGTACCAGGGATACATGAACATGTTCATTGCACATCACTTGTTACTCATAAAACCCTTAATGCGTTTTGAAATTAAACCATTGCATTGTTTACATTCAATTACATTGGAGATGACAATGTACATTTTTGATTTTTTAAATTATACCAAATACGTGGATATTTATAAAACCTTCAATCATCTTAAATTGTGTAGTTTAGAGAAACATATTCTCATAAAAATATTCAGCACTCTTAGACGACAGGGGAGAAAATGTAAAAAAAAAAACTTTTTCCAACCGACCAATTGCATGGGTAGATTAACAACGAAAAAAATTGAGCACTGCTCGAAAATCTTTTAATGTAATTAGAAAGGTAAACGTCTTCCAAATCGAATACACAAGAAATCAAACATGAAATCCTTTATGTACTCCTCAAATAAATTTTTGATAACCACAATCAAACCTACATCATAGTTTTCGCTTCAAATCAGTTAATAGTGACACCGTACACCTAAATTGTATAACGGTATATCTTGTCAATCTACATATACGTTGTAGATGGTTAGGCATGGTGTAGTAGATGGAAAATTAGATCAAAGCATGTATCAAGTATAAAACCAACATAATGAGCATTGTAGGGTAAAGTCAATTATCAAGATTACAACATTCTCAATATGCTTGCATGCCTTGTCATGGCCATGAAGTCCTGCACAACAGTCATAATCATGCAGCTGCAACTATAGCATTACAACCTTGCTATAACATATCGTATACATACTCAAACATTTTTTCCATCATGTATTCCAAGAGACCCAGAACCTTTCACACCCTGTTGCAAATTGCTACATAACCCATTTGTCCTACACTGCCCTTTTGATATTTGCAAGCGCTACAACAAAAAATAATGATAAAACACTGTCAGAAATCTCACCTCTGTTACCTCCTCGACCTCCAGAATAGCCACCTCCTCTTCTGTCCCTATCTCCTCTATCCCCACTGCTCTGGTAGCCTCCCCTGCCACTACCACCTCTATTAGAATAGCCATTTGACATATTGCCTCCTCTCCCTCCTCTGGGACCTCCCCTGTAGCCACTGCCCCCTCGTGAGCCCCGGGAGTAAGTGTCATTGTTAGAATTGCTGTTGAATGCACTGTTGTCCGAGTTGGAACTGCTGTCAAATGTTCCTGTTTCTGAAAGAAGGAAAATTTAAATCAGTTTGGTGTTCAATCAGTATTATCAAGCATACTCATAGCTTATAATGAGATGTTGTGACTTGCCTGCTTTGCATGCAAAAACGTTTCAAAATGAATGGCAAAGTATTTTTCATGGAATTTTGATGCGAGATTTACATGATGCCCATTCATCAAGAGGCATGCACATCCATCAGTATAAGATGACAGCAATTTCACTTTGAAAAAGTGTGACTCATATATTGTATTGTATTTTCTTTACCACCAATGAAGGGTGAGCAACACCTCTTGGGTATATCCCGTATATATACGGTCCTAATTAACACATGTAACCATGAAAAGAGGACCCAGAAACACTTCCTTAGAGAACCCGTGTTCTTTTATGCACTCATACATAGTCATACAAGTACACACCACGGCCTCTTTACAGGCTGTGGACCACTCAGTCAAACAACCTGAAGTACTTTACTAATAATAAGAGAAGGAATAACCAAGAAAAAATGTGTTAGATGTGCTTTATATATTACTGAAATGCTAACAATTTTATATACAATTTATACATACTTATATTACAAGATGCAAATGTGACAAAATATATTTCACCTGGGAATTCTGTTGAAGGATGTGGCGGAGTTGACTGCTGATGGCTTTCCTGATCTTCAAATTTCCCCACCTCTGCAAATGTCTGGCTTTCAGTGAAACCACTGCTATTTGCACTGAAGTTGCTCGTTTCCATTGCTGTAAACGTTCCTGTTTCTGTGGGCGGCTGAGTACTAGTGCTGCCACCTGCTAGTTTCGCTGAATACATGGACTGGAAAACTGGTGCGCTGGCATTCATCTGAAATTGTTTCTTATCCTAAAATATAACAACACGACTGGGTGTTAGTACCACACTGGTTAGCTTCCTTAATGTATTAACCGATCCAGGGGTTTCATTAGCAGCAGGCAACAAGCGATTTTCACCAGTTTTTCGCCTGTTGTTTTTAGGGACTTTCATGTAAAATTTATGATTTCCATTAATTTTGCCTGTTGTTTTCATAGCCTGTTGGGAGAAGTTCTAGTGAAACCCCTATGATCTATATAGATGTCTCTCTAGTCATGTCCACTACTGTATGAGATTTTGTAAAGTGTCAAAATTAGATATTCAGTAACTTTGAGTGATAATCCCTTGATTACCCAGATAAACTTCAATTCAGTTATGAAGAAATACCATTCACTGTCTTCCCAAATGACCAGAGTAGCGAATAATATGCTGAACAAGACCAAAGTAAATAGACTCTGGGACAGCACTTTTGCCACACACCTTACTATGTCAAGAAATGTAACACTAATTTTACCCAATGATAATACCAGAGTGACACCTATATTGGTGAAACAACAGAACATGCTTGACAACACTTATTTAAAGGTATATTACTTGCCAGACCATTTCTCTCGTAATAAAGCAACCATGTATATACTTTTGATATTCAACAAAACACAGAAAATGTTTTGATATGGTTAATATAGATTAATTAAAAATGTGCTTATTTCTAGAAGACTGTCATCGACTCTTAACTTGCAAAGCATTTGGTAATTATAATTGACCATAACAAAACATTTTGCCATGTTCTACTAAATAATATCAAGGTTATTATAGCTACATATCAGGAGAGTTAATGGTCTGGCAAGAAATATCCCTTTAAGCATAAAATTCATGCACATTTTCAACAACATTATAAAATTGCTTAATGACTGATGATAACGATTAAATCTAATTAACTAAAAATATATAGGTTGGTGGAAATTTGATTTGTGAATTAAATCGTAATTATAAGACATGATGTAGAGAAAATATGCTAATGATTTTAACATTCAAATTTTGAAAATATCATTATAGATAGCTCAAAAATGGCTGCCCTTGATAAGAAATATAAGACAACGGCACGGTGGAGTAACTCTTCAAAATGGTCATAATAGATGATTTTGATCATGTGAACTATTAAATCACAAACACTTTTTGTTACAGAAACATATACCTTTTCATCATCAACAGTTTGAGGAGTTTCTCCACAGTTACAGGCCTCTTGGCCAGAACTTTTGTCAAGAAACAAAAATCCACCTTTAAACAAAATTTTGTCTAAAATGAACAGAAACACAAGAACAAAATAATATTCAAGTTTTAGTAAACAGAGAGTCACTAGAAAACAATTTTAGAAACATATTTTCTGTGATGTTAAAACAAATAACTGTTAAAACTGATTTGAGTTACAACTTTTCTTGTAGTGCCAAACAAACTTCTAGTCTACGGCTGTAACTGTTCACTATAGTATACAATAATGGCCATGCAAATCTCAACATTAATGTTTTGTACAAGGAGGATTGGCTCCCAGGATCGACAATCGATATTTTCCAAAAATGTAAAACGTAAAAATGTTGTTATTTTCTGAAATTATTACTGACTATAAACTCAAAATAAACAGTTCAAAAGATTCGGACCAATATCTCGATCATTTCTTGTGAGTTTTGGAATTTTTCATTTAGGAATAAGACCAAAATTCACGATTCAAATGTTGAAATGAACAATTTGGTGGCTGTTTGAATTCAAATTTTGAATCACGACATTTCCATATATGGGACAGAATATTGATGTTGCACTCTGGGACCCGATCCTCCTTGGTTTTGTAAATCTTCACTTCTAGCAAATGGCTGCCATAGTGAACCATTGCTGTGATGGGAAGAGGAATTCTCATATACCCTATTAAACTACTAATAGTCAGAATTGTTTTCAGTGGATGATTCTGCTGTCCTTACATTTCATTATGGAATTTTTCATGCAATGGCTTAAGGATAGGGATTTTTCATGCAATATTTTAAAGATTTTTATGTTTTTTGTGGCGGATATTAGGGAGCACATGTACATATTCGAGGAGCATTTTTGTGTTATGGATATGCTGAATCTCTGAGATTTCAATAGCACTGGGTCACCACGCCTGAGATATCCTACCATAAACATTTATATTCTTTATTAATAAAACATTTCCAAGGAAAAGCAAAATGCAGTAGTATTTCTGTTCGTGACTGTGTTAACAAGAAGAATGTCACACTTACCTCGCTGGTTTGTGATTGGTCCATATTGGTTTGGCTTTGGTAAGGTGTGGTATGACTTGGCATGGTGATTGCAGGGGGTAAAGAACTAGTATCCAAAGCTGGACTCTGAGAATGGGTTACTCCACCTATTGTTGTATGTGCCATTTGATTGACTAAGTTAGAAGTCTGTTCATCCACATTCTCATGTAATGATGGGGTATTTTGTGGTAAATTTTGCGATAACATTTGACTATAGTCTGTTTGAGATGAGTTGTATGTGTTATCAAATGTTTGCTGATTATTGTAATTAGTGTTTGTAGCACTTTGTTGCGCTAGTGACGCATACGTTTGTTGCTGTTGTTGTTGGGATGGTTGTGGCTGTTGCTGTGTCTGTTCATCTGGGAAACTTTGACTAACATAGCCAGTAGTTGTTTCTGGAATTGAATCAGTCTTTTTAAAAGAAAAATACAATGAAAATACAATGTTCTGATTTACTGAAATTCTTATTATCACGACAGTCACAAAGATTCAAAATTAGGCCTGAAATTAAAAAATAAGGCCTCAAAAGGCCCAGTAATGACCAAAAGGCCCACCTTTTGAGGCCTTTAGGCCTATTATGGCTCAAAATTTTTTTTGGCCCCACCCAAGGGGTAAGACTTCTCAACTTTTCCATGTGAATTTTATGATTCCAATTAATTTTGCCTGTTGTTTTCATTTATTTAGCCTGTTGTGAGAAATTCTGGCGAAACCCCTGATACTATATTACACCGGATGAGGTCTTTTCAAAATTTACAGTGATGGTTAAACTGTATAAAATAAAATGACTCCTCTGTTCTATGTTGTGAGGGGTGTTTCATATGTGAGACCATTGGCTGGGTGGCAACCACTTACCTGTTCTTTGTTGTGAGGGGTGTGCCATATGTGAGACCATTGGCTGGGTGGCAATCACTTACCTGTTCTTTGTTGTGAGGGGTGTGCCATATGTGAGACCATTGGCTGGGTGGCAACCACTTACCTGTTCTTTGTTGTGAGGGGTGTGCCATATGTGAGACCATTGGCTGGGCAGCTACTACTGCAGGATCCATGTGTGGAGACTCAACATCTATCTCAGAATCTTGTAAGAAATTGTAGTTGCCCTGTACAGATGATACAATCTCATTGAATGGCCTTGAACGGATATACTCTGAAGGTCCTGTTGCGAAGAATGCATCCTCGGGTGCTGCGACATTTGTCAGCTGACCATCCTGGCTGATCATATCTGGGTTGAGTTGTTGCTGTTGTTGTTGTTCGTGTTGCTGATCTGCATTCTGCTGTTGTTGTTGTTGGGTGTTTGTTTGTTCAAGTTGCTGTGGGGTAGGTTCTGGAACATCTGGAGGCAGTGATGATGTCACCTGAAATGAAACACCATATTTTTGTAGAAATTCATCATTCATTAACTCTTCATTTACATCAGAGATGAGAGCATATTTATTTATTCTAATATGTAATCTACAGTCTAAATCTGGGAAAAATCAAAACCAAAAAATTTCCTGAGGATTCATAGTGATAAGATTTTTCATATATGAAAGTGCTGAATGGATATATATTTGATATATAGTGTTTAAAAAATCCCAAGCAACCTACCTCTTCTGATGAATGTTCTGGAACCTCTTCAGATTTCACCACAACAAATTCTTTCTCACTACTTGAACTCTCACTCGATTCCTCTACAATTTATTGTTATGTTAGTTAAAAGCAAGAGAAATATCAAGGAATTCATGACTTATATGATAAAATTTAAAGACCCAATGATTCTTCATAAAAAATAAGATGAATGAAAGAAAGATTATGTATATTCTGTTGAAAGACTGTTACAAGTATAGTGAACTCTGTCGATTAGAATAACAAGAACAACACAAGGCATTAACATGACAAAATGTCACCACCTAGTTGCTCACAATATTATGAGTTCAAGCTTAAGTCAGGTTTGAATTTCTGAGAACTTGTAGATGATTTTGAAAAAATTAATTGGTCAATTGAAGCATTGGTTGAAAGACTTTTTTACCCTGAGGATGTCATTGGAGGTGAAATCTCAAATCTAAAGTCAGATGTGAACTTCTGAGAATTTGTAGATGATTTTGAAAAAGGCCTCGAGAAGGTCATTGAAGGTCAAATTTATAGCCTGATGTGAACTTCTGAGAACTTGTAGATGGTTTTGAAAAAAATGGTAAATTTGAAGCAAATTGAAAAAATACCTTTTTTAACCTTGAGAAGGTCATTGAAGGTCAAATCTCAAATCTTAAGTCAGATTTCTGATAACTTGTATATGATTTTTTTTTTAAATTGGTAAATTTGAAGTAAGTTGAAAACAGACCTTTTTGATTTAAACTTCTGAAAACTTGTAGATGATTTTGAAAAAAAATCAAGTCAGTCTAAACAGTATTTGTTAAGTTATTGGAAGTCTTAAGAATTTGTTACAGACGCCGATCGCCAACCACCATAAAAAAATGGACACCATAACAATATGTCACCACTTTTTGGTGGTGACATAAAAAATGAAATCTTGTCTGGGGACTGTTCAAACGTTCTTTACCTGGTGCTTCTGCTTCCTCTTCCACTTCCTCCAGATGTCTATCAAAGTAGCCAGATTCATGGATTTTATTGAACACCTCTCGTAGTTCCTTGTATGTTGTGTCTAGCACAGGTTTGTCCTTACCGTCTAAGAGATCTACAATGTGTTGCGATGACGCTTCGAGCTGCTCTTCAAACCTGGAGGTAATTTCATGAGAATCACTAAATGTCAAAGGTTATCCTTTTTATTAGAGTAGGGTTGTTCACAGCTCATTACAATTCTCCGCTCTTGGTTCATGGTTCAGTACAATTATTGCGATGACAGAAATATCACTTTTTAGTTTGTATTATTAGAGGAAATTTCATTTTTAACATTGTAACTGATGAATATGAAAATGTGATGACTAATATTCAATGAATATTTATGAAATTTGACCCACTTTTTAAAGGGACCAACAATTATTTACATTTGGATTGACAAAATGAAACTAATTTGTAACATTTTGCAGAAAGGATACATCAAAGGTGTATTATTAGGAGTATTATTCTTTTTAATACTCAACTTAAATGAAGCAAATGAAAAAGTAAATATGTTTACTTACTCTCCCTCCTCCTCTCTTGAGGGATTGATCAATTTGTAAAGATCATCCAGCTGCTTCAAATTGGCCTCAGTCAACACCTTAAATAAAACTGGGATTGATCAACTTGAAGGATTACAAAAATAATTCAAAATTTACTATTGTGGCAATAGGAGCATTACTACTTACATTTGTAAACTGCAATATTTTTAAATCAACATTGAAATTGTACCATTTTCTCAAATAACCTTTTCATGCGAAACCAAAACCTGGTAAATTTCAACATGGAACAATGACCATAGATTACTCCACGGACTCCGGATCTGTGGATTACTCGAGTCTCTAGCAAATTCTTGGCAAGAAGTAATTCCATCTGGAACACTGTGAACTTTTGTAAAATTTCTAAGTTCAATAAATTTAAGTAATATTCTAATAAAAACTGTCACGTTAATATTTCATGAATTGAAATGGAACTGGCTGGGCTCCTTGATGAGATATTACATGAGATATTTTGTCAGGATATCATCTAAAATTAAAACAAACGGCTCCAAGAAAAATGGCGAATTCGAAAACTGGACGAAATGTTGTTAACGTCTGACATTAGTAACTGGCTGTAAGTTAGCGATCCAGAAGATACTAATACATTGATCACTTCATGTGTGTTTTTGAAATTCTATGTTTCCTAAGTGACATCCATACATTCAAGTAGATTTCATGTTAAAGGATTGGGTGAAATACATATTTAAGTGAAACCCACCAGAATGTACAGCCTCAGGAAATGGGTTGGGTGGGAGGGTAACTTATTTTTCAATCATTTCCCAATTTCATGATATTTCATCCAAATTTCATGATATGTAAACTATTATCCATTCGATTTGCTAATGACTACCTCCCTCGAATTCCCTATTTAGAATAAACATTCACTCTACTCAATAATAAAGATGTCACTTAGGAAATCTATGTTTCCTAAGTGACATCCATACATTCAAGTAGATTTCATGTTAAAGGATTGGGTGAAATACACATTTAATTTTACCCTTTACGGTGTATTTACATCCTGAATAATGTGATTTGTTAATTTTTACTACTCCCAATCCTCAAATCTTTAATAAAAAATTAACAAAAAACTAACGTGGACATGGGATTTGAGAGCAATCTCTCCCAGTAGTTCTAGTAGATGGTTTTCCATAATGTAATTATGAAGCTAATAAAACCTAAAATTGACCTCATATCACTGGTGGGGAAAAATCAGTCCCCTAACATGAGTAATTAACCTCAATTGCCAATTACCTCCTACTGTGGAGAGACAACTCTCACATCCGAAGTCCACGTGGTTAAAACCACTAAGAGATCAGTGCTCCCGGACTTTAGATGTAAAGAGAAGCCAATTGTTTATCAGACTTCACTAGTTTCAAATGTTACAAACTCAAGTCATTTTCAAATTAGTTTACAAGAGGGTACATGGAATTAAACCAATCACTTGCATAGGTTATCCAGTCATGTCAAAACAATTCAACCTACTTTCTATTGAGAAAACCCCAGTTTTCATTCAATTGCCAATTACCAAGGCCTTTTATTCATTACCACTCATGGTTCATATTTTTTGCCCCCTGCTTGCGCATATATTTTCAGGCCCTTGGAGCTTTTATTTTTAGCCCCTTGCTCGGGCATTTATATCTCTAGGCCCTCAAAGCCTTTTAATCTCTAGGCCCTCAAAGCCTTTTATTTTAGCCCCTTGCTCGGGCATTTATATCTCTAGACCCTCAAAGCCTTTTAATCTCTAGGCCCTCAAAGCCTTTTATTTTAGCCCCTTGCTCGGGCGCCCCTTGCTCGGGCGCCCCTTGCTCGGGCATGTAAATCAAAATATGCTTACCACTGCTGAATGTACGTCTGGCCACTTCGAATTCCCTATTTAGAATAAACATTCACTCTACTCAATAATAAAGATGTCACTTAGGAAATTTAGGTGAGGTAATAAGGCCAAAACTCGCAATTCAAATTGTGATGTGGAAAAATGGCGAATATTTGATTTCAAATTTTATGATTATGACATGAACCGTATACAGCGACATGACTCCCATCCGGCAGAGTATAAAACATGCAGGGATTTATCTTTGGACGAAGACCATGATATAGTGGGCTTAGAAGAAGGTAAACCATAGCCAGTATCAGGGCTCCATCAGAGAACTACATATGAAAATATTTCCAGAAAGAAATTGCTTAGGACAAGAATTTGAATGTTTGCTGGTCAAGAAATTACTCACACATGCTCCATTTTTGCCAGTCGTGAAATCTGCTCTGGCACTTTCAGAACCCATACAGTCTAGAAGATTCTGTATCTGTAGCATCTCCTTCACACGTCGAAGTTCCACATTCTGCCGCTCCATAGCATCTCGTTTCTTCTGTTTTCGATTCTGCTTTTCAATCTAAAGAATTGATATACAAATGTATTCTGCTTTTGATTCTATAAAATATATGAATGTGCTCTACTTTTCAGTCTATAATGATATGGGGCCAAAACATCACTGATACCCTCCATGTTTCTTTATATGTTATGTCACATGGAAATTATATTATTACCAGATATTTTTTTCTAATCCTAATAAAATTATTTTTTTGATAAAATGACACTGATATTGGACCTAGCCCCTAGGTGAAAGTTAAGAAGTTCGTAAAATGAAACCATGTAAACTTGCCAATGAATATATCTTAGATCTACTTACATCAGCGCTGATCTGCAAGAACTGTTTCTGAAGCTCCTTGGCGAACTCCAAGTTTTGGGTAACACTCTCATATTTACCAACAGCATCCTTAAATAAAGAAACCACGTCTCTATGGTATTTTATAAAAAGTAACTTGTCAAGAAGACTTCTTGGTCATAAAGCTTGTAAATGATTCAGTATGTATTGAATATGATGTACAGTATAAAAACATCTGAACTGAACACGTTTGTGCAAGAGTTTTTGACACCAAGTTCTTTTGATGTTTATTTTTACAGAATTTTCCAAAAGAATACATTATAAGTATATCCATCTGTTCATAAAGTTTTATTGATGTGTTTTCTTTCAGTTAATTTTTATGATTTTCATTTCATGAATCATGATAGACAATTTCAACACTTACTTCTTGGTCTTTATTGAGGATCTCTCCTTTATCCTTACGATCTTTATACACATCTAACTTTCCCTGGAAAGAAAAAAAAACATTCATCAATGTTTCAGAAAGAAACAGTCTCATCTTACAAAAATTAGTCCCTCTAATTATTAAACTTTCACAGAGTACTTGAAAGAATTTCCTGTATATGAAAAAACCTGGTCAGCGCTTGCATTAGGCTCTGAAAAATGTGAGTCCCAATGAAGGAAAAATTTTTAAAAAGTGAGTCCCGACCGAAAAAAGTGTGTCCTCCAATATATAAGGTAAATTAGCTAAATTAGCTATAATGGGCTATTTTGGAATGTGCATGACTTGATCTTACATGTCTTATGTGTTTTCAAAATGTTGCCATTCGTGCCCTGTGATTTAAACATGTTCTTTATTTCAATTCACTTATGTTATGTAACCTCCAGCCTGTTATAGTAAGTACTTATTATACTGTGATTATCTTTATACTTGCTGTTTGCACTGAACAACTGCTTGAAAAAATAAGAACATTTTTTAGTATGAATTTGTCTGACGCTCAGTAATTTAGTGTATCCCTACATTTTCTACATGATCAGAATCCTCTGATTTATATCATAAATTAGACCATTTTGACGTTATATAATCACAAATAGACTACTTCACCTAGGTAAGTATGCATCATTTGTACATTTGAACTCATTTTGAAGGTTTTATATCAGCTTTTCAGTGAGAAAAATGTGTCACATGCAAACTGATAACCTATTATCGAATTTATCGCCCATTACAATAGTTCGTTTTTCTGCATTCTTTTTCTTTTTTACTCAAAATAAAGTTGTAAATCTCACATATTTTGATCTTAATATACACTTCAAAGAAGTCAAACATGATCAACTATTGAGATTTTCAAGATTTTCAAAAAATGTTCAAAGTTTTGACTCAATTTTTTTTTCCGTCCCAAAAACGGAAATATCTTTTATTTTTCCGTCCTACAATTTCTTTTTGCGTCACTTACATGTAAGGGACGCCGTTAATGCAAGCCCTGCTGGTGGATTAAAGTAATAAAGCTGTTAAGCAACAGAAAGGCTTTAACCAATGGGAATATTCCCTCTCAGATGAAAATTTTACTTCAGACAAATTGATATTCTTTAATACAGTATAATGGGACATAAAAAGCCAGTGGTAGGGAAAAGTAGGACCTAGAGTCACTAAGAAAGCTAAGTTGCAGCTTAGCTATTCATTGATAACATATTGAATGGAAGTCCTTTGATGCCAGTGGCACCCAAGACAAGCCTAAGATTGGCTGCAGGGACTGTATTCATTCAACTAGTGATTGATTGGGTAACATAAATTTGCAGCATGTCATTCCCAGAGGAGAGCTGCCTCGAACTTTGACGTATGGGGCTACTTCGTCATGGGGCTACTTCAACCATGGGGTAATTTCTACAATTGGCGATAATTCATAAAATTCATGGGTCAGCCATCTTAAATTAATATCTCACCTGTTGGAGATTTCAATTTATTAAAAAAAATTCATTTACCATTAAAAGCTAACCACAATTAGAAAGCTGGCGGAGATTACCTTTAGTTAATTTTAGCGAAATTTCAGCTCAAACTCGAAATGTAAATGTCTTCGTTCTGCCGTTCAACTAGAGTCCATTTCACTGTTTTATTGCGTCAGTAGAACCCCAAAAATAAGAAATTGGGAGACCATTGTACATTAATATATGGAAAAGTATATTCATAATGTACATGAATGACATTTGTATATTTCGGATTTTTTAGTTTTTTTGTGCAAAAAGCCTGTGCCCTCTTGTAATTTGAAGAATTTCGGCCATGTTAATCTTAATGAAAATAACATGGCAGAGAAGCACCCAAATATAAGAGGTCACTACCTTTATAAGCCAAACTAGAAGCAATCCAAGATATACAAATGTCATTCATATACAATAGGAATTAGGGCTGCCATCGAACTCAAATGTCAGTGTCGACAGTCGAACTCTGCTGTCGAAAATATTGTCGACAATCGAACTTTCCAGGGAGAAAAAATCATCGGGAAGTAATTGCCTAATATTGTTACTAAATGCCAAGTTAATAGAATATTATAGACGAAAATGGGACAAATACCTGCAATGTTTCGACCGGGATTTATTTCGACTGCTCGGGCGAAATCTCGTACAACGTCTCGCAAGAGAGAAGAGAAGTCATGAAGGGAACTTCCGGGTGAATTTATTTTTTGAAAATGAAATGAATGTGAACAATATTTCCGCAGAATACGCGCACATAACACGTTGAAATGTGTATTGAAATGTATTGGGGCCATTTGGATATTTTCAAGTAAGTATTGATATCGTTTGCTGTCGACATGACGGGAATTTTTGTCGACTTCGTTGTCGAACTTGCATTTTGACTGACAAGTCGACGTTCCGACTAATGATGGCAGCCCTAATAGGAATACATTTTTCCTTATATTATTGCATAATGATATTTTGATTTCTTATTTTTTAGCTTTTACTGACGCAATTAAACAATGGACTCTAGTCTACAAACGTCAAGTAAGTTTCTGGAGAAAGCTGGAGCATAGATTATAAAGAGGACTGGAAACAAGATGGCAGTCTATTTCAAATCTGCCAACTCGTGTTGGCCTATTTATCACTATTGACTCAGTTGTTCATCTAGTTTTACTTACCTTAGATGCTTAGTAATCTATTTAGTATTATATTGTTTCCAAAATTATTGTCATTTGCGATAATTAGTACTACAATTGTAAAAGTACTTTGAACAGGTCAGCTGCCATTTGCTTGGACCAATCGTACCAGTCCACAAAAACAGTGAAATCATATTAAAAATACCAATAAAACTTTAAAATTGAGGCAGATGCGATACAAAGAGACTCTATTAATACAGATATACAGGTTAGAGTCACCAAGATGAGCTAATTTCAGGCGAGATTCGGGAAACAAAAAGGTAGGTCATTCTTGTTTCTAGTCCTCTTAAATAATCTATGCTCCGGCTTTCGCCAGAACTTAATTGACGTCAGTGCTCTAGTCTACATGAAAAGAATGCTAAAATACCAAGGAATCTATTGAAGAAGATATCTTAGTGTAAGAGGCGTAGAAAATTCTCCCATGTTGTAATCGTACAAGCAAATGATTGAGACGTTCTCAGCTCAGGACGGGGACCCCTGGCACGGGATAAGCTTTTCATACTTCAAACCATGGGCTTTCAACATTCAACATAATATAACCAGTTTCGTTTTCAAAATGTTTATTTGTTAGAAACTAACAAAACAAAACGATTCACTTCTAAAGCTCTGTGATATTACTCAAAGAGTTTCATGAATAATCTAGAACAAAAGTTGAACACTTCCTGTCTGACAGTCGGCCATGTTGAAATCAGACCAATAAGCATGCCATCTCATTTGACAACTTTTCTGGACATAATTGAAAACCCTGTGATCCAAGACTAAGTCAAGTGCTATAATATATAGCAAGATATTGAAATTTCAAATGACTTTTGTGGAAATAACATAAATTATAGAGCATACAGCCATTGAAAAAGAGAACGTCATTTCGCACATTTATTGACCTCAAAAATTCAACTGTCACCGTTTCACTTCTCATTTCTGACTGTTTTCGCAAATATTACTTCAATATTATCTTACCTTTCGCTTCTCTAGATTGCGGACTTTCTTTTCTACCGCCAGGAGAACTTGAACAATGGGGGATTCGGCCTCTTTCGAGGCCTTTTGCTCGGTTTTATTAGAGGCAGAAGGCATCCTTCAACAGCAACAACTCGAAATAAAGAATTCACGTGGTTTCTCCCTTTTAAATTTTACCCTGGTTTCAAAAGTACGATGATAGATCATCGAACTCCCGTGCAGTGATAGTCATAACACTGCGGCGGGCAGGTATCTCATCGTAAGCATGGTAACTTCATAATAAACAACTGACGTGATTGGTTCTAGTCCCATGCTCAGGTCGCGTGATTGTAAAATTTAGACAATTTCATTGGTTGAATTGCGCGTATTAACTAATAAACAACACGTGCGGTAAACTATTATCAGCAAAACTTTTACTCAGAATTCCTTCCGCGGTGATTTCTTCTCATATTTCAATAATTTTGAAATATTTTGACAAAATAATGATTGGTGAACATAAAAGAACATATATTTTATAAGTTGTATGAAAATCAAGTACATCTGTGACAAAAAAGGGGGACTATCTTCCCCAAATTTTGGGGATTCCATAATCTGCCCGCCGCAGTGTCTATACCGAGACACTGCATGGGAGTTCGATAGATCATTTGAATTTGTTCGAAGATATTGAAATTAAATGTTAAAAAAATTGGAATATTCATCAATGTTGTATACCGATATGATAGACATGTGGCTCAAATAAAGGTACAAATGCAATAACAACCACATATCGTATACGTATCTACCGTACTAAGGGTACAAGGTATTCATATTGAAAAGTTTTAACCTTCATTTATAGATGTCGCAATTGCATATCGCACTGACAGTTGACACACGGATCCAGAACCAGATCCAGTGCCCAGGATCCAGTCACAGTGACCACCTGAGGCCCGGGTATACTGTCAAGTCATTAATAAAAAATCAGTCTTATTCTTATTCAATCTAAAAAAAGATATATACCACGCATTAACAACTCAGTAAGCCTAGGCTACACTAGCGGACTCATTAAACACTGATTTTAACGTATTCCTGGGCCTCAGGCACACTACTATACCTAACCCCTAGAAATGCATAAGATAATCTGTTTGTCTAATTGTATTGTTTAGTATATTTTTGAAAGTACCTTATAACATCTAACATTCAACCGATAAACCATTAAATAAGGAACAGACAAACACATAATCATTACTAATAACCAATTGGGTTGCTCATGAACACCAAATGCAAGGTATAGTAGAGTGTCAGGTGACCACTATCAATCTTCATTATTCAGTATTATAATGAAAGTACGGTTACTCTTTTGACTTCCTGTTTGGACTCCCGTTTTTGTTTGGTCATAATCACTGTGTTGGAGAATTTCACCTTATTTTTTAACTTCAGTTGAGTCTCAATAAGCTTACTCTAAGCTTGATACTAAATGACATAAAATGGTCAGTAATCAGAATCACCTGCAAATTGCAGATATTGAGCTTGAAGCGCAAATTTCTTACTTTTTTGGGCCAAAACTCGTCATCGGACATGACCTCATATCCATTTATTGATCGCCAAGAAAAAAATTCTCTGACAAGTTGCAAAAATATGAAAAAACAAAACATAGAGTATCACTGCTATGATGATCAAACTGCCATGAGAAAAAAATATTTTGAATTTACTTTTTTTTAAGTTACCGGACTTCATTCTATCATATTAAATATTAGATAGATGGTGCTGGCTGTGGATCAAGTGCACCGGGGACTGGGGATCTACCCGGTGCGTTAGGCCTATTTTTAAATCCCCGGGGTTTCACTCCAGTATACCTCTTTATACTACTTATGTGCCGCGCCAAATACCCCTTTTTTAGCTTTTTTCATGTCCGAATTTCCACTATGACACGCCTATTTTTAAAATCATAATAATCTCGCCAATGAAATTCTGATTTCCGAAGCGAAATAAACTCATAATTTATTCCCTTGGCGCGAATATCAGTTTTCAAAAGTAAATTTCAGGTCAGAGAAAAAAACATCCAAAAAAACATTTGGGCCCCTAAAACCTAAAAGTGGGTTCAAATTTGGAACTTTTGAGGCCCATTTTCTTCAAACTTCGGCCTGAAATTAAAAAATAACTATGGCCTTAAAAGGCCCAGTAATGATAAAAAGGCCCACTTTTTGGGACCTTAAAAGGGCTTTTTTGGCCCAATTTTTTTTCTGGGCCCACCCATGTCTGACAGAATGCGTCTATTTTTAGAACCATCGGGTCTGCTTTCAAACTGTAAAATGTTGATTTGATGATTTGTCCTGTCTGCGAAAAGATGAAAAGGTCCAGTAGGAACGGGCCCCAGATTTTCTATTTGTAGGAATACTTGCCTGTCCAGCATCCAGTTGGAGGGTGTCCTTGAACACCATGGATGCTTTGTCGCTATCTCGTTCTGACAGCCTGGAATGAATTCTGCCGTATTTGTGATCCCCTTGTTGAGGCAATATTGGTAAATCATTTGTGTCGTACCTGTAATACTTCCTTGGAGCGAGTTTCCCCCAGTTTGTTGACTTCGGAGACATTGCTGTTATATTGTCTGTTTTTATATGGACTCTGCAATTGTTCATTTCTTTGGTCAGAGTTTTCATGGCAAGGTAGATCGCCATTAATTCTATAGATGATTTATATGTTTCCCCCTTTCTATTTTCGACCATATAGTTCCGGGATTACCTGACCCTGGCACTCCGCCCCCAAACCGGATAGACTGAAGTCTGTTGTTATGATCAATGATGGTTCCTCCATCTTATTTTGATTGACTTGTCATTCCAGAAGTCCACTTCTGAGATCCGCCATAACAAATCGTTTCTTACCTCTTGTGTCAGCTCGACTATCATTGAATAAGATTAGTTGTTTCTCTTCAGACTTCTCAACATCTGGAAGTGTCTGCAGTACAGGGGATTGGAGTTGGTAGAACTGCCATTGCACAGGCTGAAAATCTGCCTACTATTGTTGCTATGATGTCCTGTACTGACACACTGACTTTTTGTTTAAAAGATTTTCGCAACCTACCTTAATAGATATGAGTTTGTCTGAGGGTACTCTCAGAACCATTGCTTTGGAGATTATACCTGGAACGTCCCTAGATGTTCCATTATTTGGGTTGGGTTCGAAATTGATTTCTCCCAGTTTATCAGAAACCCCAGATTTTCTAACAGGAATACTGTTGTGTAGGGCTGATCTTGGTTACCAACCCCAGCTACTGAACCTTCACTGGCATTTATACTTTCTTGTTAAAACCGATGCGTTTCTAAAATATCGACGATTTGGGTCGGTGCGTTAATTACTCCAGCAATTTGGGAAGGCACGTTTCAGAAAAATAAATGACCTTATAAATGCTTGATTGAAGGATATCATAGACTAGCATGTTCACCAATACATCTTTAATACGTTAAAAAATCTTTGGTTGTTCCAATTATCTCTTTGAGAAGAAATTCTACATTTTCAGCAATCTTTTATTTCGAATTTTTTCATTTACATTTCGTTCACTTTATACCGATATGTTACAGCTTTATGGAATTCTTAAAAGGTACCCCGATATTTTTAGAATGGAATATATTATAAGAGATTCACGTACCTCTTGTTTACAATATCATTTTTTTCCTCCGAAGGAAACATATCTATGTCCGCCATTTTAAAAGGACGGTGCGTTACATTTTAAATCTAACGGTCCGGGGTCAAGGGACAACGCAACGGGACCGATCCCAGGTGCAAAAGGGTAGGAGGTCCTATCAAATTATGGTCCTACTTTCCATATATACAGGGTGGTCCAAAAAAAAGTAAACCCCTGCAACAGGCTATATTTTCCTTAATACTTGCATGAATTGCCTCATATTATCACATGTTGTAGAGAAAAGTCTAACGTTTTTGTTGATGCCATAATTTATTCTCAGTCTTAAATTTTCAAGAAATCACAAGACTTAAACGAACATGCCTGAAAATTAGATTGTGCAAAATTTTACCAACGTAATTCATGGAAATTGTTGAAACATGTTAGGTATTCTTAAAACAGCTTTCAGTTTGAGATACAAGTTTAAAACCCTACCATATGACAAATGGGATACTATTTGAGCAGAAAACACATTTCACACTTTCATTGATCTTTTGAAGCAGTATTAATTGTTCAACAGTTAAGGGGCATGTTACCTACACAAATGGATAGAGGGGGGGGGGGGGGAAAGTTGCCCCCTGTGACCAGGATTCTGAGAAGCCCTTCATCAAATATCTTTAGATAATCAAAAGAAAATCTAATATTCAATGTTTTGAGCCATAATTCACTAGGATTGGTCCATGATTAATGAAAATATTGACATTTCAAGATCAAATAGGGGTATGTTGCGATTTCGCTGGGAAAAAATTTCGTCTATGGAAACTTAGAACATTTCTTCGGATCACAATATCTTTGCAACTAACAGAGGTAGGATGCTAGTTTTTACGCCATAATGTGCGTGATTCAAAACCAAACAAAGTCAGAAAATAATAGTACTTTAAGACTGCAGCTAAAAAAATTGTCAGGGGAAGGGCGTTGATGGGTTGAAGAATCGCGGATGTTGAAAATCACGTTTTATCCATTTTCAGTAATATTTGGTTAGGGCTTATAATTTCTGCAAATTTCAAGACTAAGAAAAATGTATGGTACCAACAACAATTTTAGACCTTCCTCTACAACATGTGAAAATATGAAAGGATTCCTGAAAGTAATAAGGGAAATATGGCCCGTTGCAGGGGTTCACTTTTTTGGACCACCCTGTATATGGTGACCTAAATACAACTCTTTCCCTTATTATCGTATCCGCAATCAGGGCCAGTAAGGGCCTTTAAGAAAGGGGACTATAATCCCCAGGGGACCATAATTTCTTTTACACCGGTGCGGTATAGTTGCTCACCATGAATGGGGATGGCCTCATCGTCGTGCTGTTTTCTGTAGGCCTATCATATGAAAAATACAACATAAGATATTTTCTTGGCACTGTGTAGGCTACAGTAAGCGTTTTTCAAATTTGAAACCCCAAGGCAATCATAAAACCTCGGAAGTTGCATACAATGGGCCCAGAATTGTTTTTGGTTTTTGACTCCCAAGATTTTGTAGAGCCTCAAAAATGGGCCTTTTGGACATAATTTTGCCTTAATTTTTCAAAACGATTTGCATCGCATATGGGAATTTTTTCCAGACTATAAAATTTGCCCCTCCCCCTTGTTAATTTCTGGATTCGCCACTCGCATACCACCGGGGGGGGGGGACTCCCATGTATTGGCTTTATCGCACGGGCCGCAAAGTGGATCAATTTTCACCGAAAAACCACAAGATGTGGGTCCAATTTGGAAGAAAAAACCTAGATATGGGTCTGGAAATCCCTATAGCTGGGTCTACTTTTTGAAAATCTCAGTTGAAAAAAATCGGCAGAAGTAGGTCTTGTTTTTTAAAAATTACCTAGAAGTGGGTCAATTTTTCAATAAAAACCCTTGATGTGGATCACTTTTTAAAGAAACAAATCTCTAGATGTGGGTAGGCCTAGATATTTTGAATCTCAGCGGCACCCCCTGTTTGTTAGCATCTTTTATGCAAAAAACAGCGTAATCAAATCATATATGACACATTTTCCAATCCCACCAGAGGGGGGGGGTGGCAGATCGACATGGAGATGGCAACTAGCAGGCTCTCTATTTCACAAAGAGGA